CGCGCCTTCGGCGCTCGTGATTGTCTCAACCCCCCCCCCCCCCCGCCGCCCCCCCCCCCCAAATAAATCAAACCTTGCTACGGCACTGATTTTTGAGCTTGGACTAAATTTTGTCATCGTGTGTTCTTCGTAAAAGGATCCAGAATTGATGTCAAAGAGGAAAACTGAATAAGTTTCCCATTCTTTAGTAGTAAAGTCACGCTTATACTACCTTAATTTAAGGCTTTTGTCCTTTTTAAATATCAAGAAAAGTTGAATTCTAAGTTTCACTTTCCTTTTTTCCCCTTTCTTTGTTTTTCCTGAAATCGCCAGACCTTTCCCTAACTATTAAAGTAGTCTTCACGCTCCTGACCAGCCTGGCATTTATTGTATCCTTCCTCGGTAACTCGATGGTGATCTATATAATCAGAAAGGATCAGCTATTGAAGTCCACCACATTCCTTCTGATACTGAACATGGCCTGTGGAGACTTGGTAACGACTACAGTGACGAGTCCGCCATTAATCAAGTTCTTGTTTGTTGGATTAGCTTGGATTCCTGGGACAGTTGGAGGTTTGCTATGCAAACTGAATCTCTATCTCGTTTTGGTTGCTCTCCTGGGTTGCATTTTTAGCCTGACGGGGATACAAATAGATCGCTTTTTGGCTGTGATCCGACCACTGACACACTCACCCTGGACAAAATGGACAAAGGTTATTATTCCTGGAATATGGCTCGCGGCTATTTTACTTCCCATACAACACATGTCGCACAAAACGGGCGTTAACAGTTACTCGAGCTCAGGAATGAACATTTCCGTATGCGACGAAAAACAAGTTCCATTAAGTATCGAGATCACGCTGAGCATATGCTTTCTGCTTCCTTTCACAGTGATGCTCATACTTTATCCAATCATCATCTATCATCTGTGGACAAGGCAGGTCCCAGGAGAACCGAACGCTCTGCAACAACAGAGGGCAAATCGTATGGCACGGAAAATCACCAAAATGATAGTTGCTGTTGTACTTTCTTTCTTTGTCTGTTGGGCACCGCAATTTATTTTCGTCTGGATGTATCCTCTCGCTAGAGAGCTGGCAGCCACTTTACCCTGGTTATTTCCATTTATCCTTTAGCTACAAGTGCTTAACTCTGCCACGAATCCTGTTCTGTATGCGATCTTTAACGAATCTTTTAGACTTGGCTTCAAGAAAGTCATATTTCGTAGTATTTTACGGAGACGCAACGCACAAGTCGTGCAAAGTGCACATCAAAACGTTCATCAAAGGTATCAGAATCCAATTCAAAACATAGCACTTGTAAGATTCCAAAACAGCGCAGGCCTGAAAAGATAAATTTGTTTGTACTTCAGTAACAGATACAGCCACCGTGTTAAGAATATACCTTGGTAATTAATTTCGCTGGTATTTAACTTCGCGATTTTGGCGAGAGAGTCTTTCGCGGGGTTATATTTTCGCAATTTCCACACATATGAGAAGAGGGCATTAAATTTCGCGATTTAAGCATTCTCAACTTCACTTTATTTCTTTAAAACAGGTCTGAAAGGTTTCAAATTTCTAGTTAAACTGGAAAAGCAATATGTGAAAGCTTTACAAATTAACGATGTTTCACTTACTGAAGATACAGAACCGAGCTTACCAGTATGACCAGCTATCAAGTTATATTATCGATACATATCCAGTATATGTTGTTGCTATTTCAAGTTAATATTGTTTTTCTGTGATTTGAATTTTCTACATGAGTATTCAAATTCGCGAGGATTTATTTTCGCGAAATTAAAGACCCGCGGGATTAAGTACCTTGAGTTCGAGGCCGGTGCCCGATATTTTGGCCCCAGGCCTCGAACCGTACCGTGCCTTGTTTATATTCGAGGCCAAGGTGTAAACGGTGAACGTGAAGCCATCGAGTTACGAAAACAGGCAGTTCTTGTAGTTCTAGAGTGCCGATATTTTGGCAAATATGTGTTCTTTACAGTGAAGTATTGAGTTATTTCACCTTTTTGAAACTGGTTGATCAAAGGAAGATTTTTCTGTTGTCTTGTGCACAGAGCTGCGGAACGGATTTAGAGATCGTCTATGTATTACGTAGGGATGGTCTGGAAATAACACGCAGCAGTTCGCAAAACTATATGTCACACTGCCACATTGCGCTCGAAGTTCTCCTGAAATGAGGAACCGTCGTTTTATTCCGCGTCTGCTGGACAAGATGTATCACCTTAGTAGTTGATGGGGTAGCTATACCGCACAAAGGCTGCCCGGCGCCTAATCAGCAAGTGATAGGTAAATCGCATTGATAACTCGAATGAATCGAAAGGCGTAAACTAAACAAAAGATACCCAGACAGGAGCATGGGCTCCTGACCCAGACGAACATGTTAGGTATACATTTGCTTAGTCCTAAGGCCTCCTTATTCCGCCTGGCCTTTGCGTTTCAATTCACGTGGTCAGAGCTACAATTTGTGAGGGCGCCACCCTACCCGGCCGGTGTCAGATTCGCCCGTCCGAAAGGCATTGCACCTTAGAAGTTGCATGAAGGGGTCGCTATGGGTCACAAAGGGTGTGTGTGTTTGGCATGCATTTGCTCAGTCCCTAGGCCTCATATTATTTCGCGCGGCTTACGCGTGGTCCGAGCTACAGTTCGTGGGGGCGCCATCCGGCCGCCCTCCTGAGATTCGTCCGTCCGAAATACATTGACCGAGAAGTCCTGGTAAGACAACAGAAAGGGACTGGGGGCCTCTCCACATGAGTTCAGTTGACCGGGCTGGCCGGGTTACCAAGATTAAAAAAGGCCAAAGATCCTGGGGACGAGTGCCGGCGCGAAATTCGAGGGAAAACACAATTTTTATAACTTTCGCACCTACCATAACTTTGGCAACCCTTAAAGCTGTATCACTGCAGTTAAATGGGATGCTCAATAGATTTAATTAGCAACAAAACGAATTGCACTTGCAGGACACGTTTTTTTCTAATTAGCAAAGAAAACAAATTTGCACGTGCAGCACGCTTTTTGTCTTTCTTTGCTGTTGTTTTGCACAACTACAACGCTGTTTTGTAGGGCTAAAACGTCAAACTTCTTAGTTACACATTATTTTTATGGAGGAATTGTCGTATGTGCTTACCCAATATTTTGTCTCCTGTGTTGATCTTCGCTTTTGTTTTTCACTGCCGCTCATTTTCACCTTGCGGGCCGTTAGCATTTCTCATTGTCTCACCGCCGCTTTGAAGTTTCATGTTTTTCTTCCTACAACATTCGTCTCTTTTGTTTTCAATCACTCGCTCTAGCTCTTTCTCTGTTATCCACGTGAGTGTAAACATCAAAAATAACGTCGAAAAAGACGAGACTTTGTTGTTGTTTTTTCTTTCTAAAACTCAGGGCGGCCATTCTATTTCTTTCCAAATAAAACCTTGAGTTGCATTTCGCTTGCCATACGTGTTGATTGAATTATTTTACATTGGTATCCATGTGGTGCGGACGGACTCTCGGGTGGTCGGTCGGTCGCCGGTGTACGGTCACGTGATTACCAAATTTTCTTGGATGGGTAGTTTACCACATTTTCTTACCTATGGTGCTCCGCTGCACACGCGAGAGCTCCGCTATAACTAGCCAATTGTTTGAAAACGAACCGCTAGCGAAATTAGCAGCCATTTGAGTGAAAAAGGCCAAAGCAGGGTTTTTGCGCCCAATAAGATAAAAAATCACACAAGCATAAGGAAAGGAAAAGGAAGAAAACGAAAAACAAGGAAGAAAGTGTCAACGTAGAACTTGACGGGGACTAGCACAGTTCCACTGACAAACCAGAATTCAACTTCTACTAATTTTTCTTCTTTGTTTAATTGCCAATCCTAGTTCATTACAGTTCAAGCTTCAGCTAAAACTCCTTACAGTCTAAGCTAAGTTTCTTGATAATAATAATAATAATAATAATAATAATAATAATAATAATAATAACAATAATGATAATAATGATGATAAAACGTGTCCACCGAATAAAGAGTTAAATAAAGGACAAACGGTAAATTAAAGAAGGTGTCGGTTATTTCAACTTTTTGCGTTAACTTCAATTTTTTGTCTGTGAATTTATAATTGCTGAGCACGCGCATTCCTCCTTTGTTTGTATTTGTAATACCGAGGAAAGGTTTCGCATTAATTTCAAGTCTCTACATTTACTTTTCTGTGTTAAATTATATCTAGCTGATCGTATCTCTGGTTTAGGGAGTGCGAAATTAAATTAAATTACTATATTAAAAAAAACTGTCTTTTAGTTTCAAGACTTCATTAAAAAATACCTCATAGAGAGGGCTATAAATTAAACTCGCCTGACCATGATATGGCAGCTTACATTAAATCATAATTAAGTATAAGGAAGCCTAATTTTCTAGGCTTCCTCGCCACTCTATCTATTACAAAAGTTCAGTCACTTAATATTACATTTAATTTTGAACTTTTTTTTGTAACTTTTCCTGCCCTCTAAATTGTGCAATCTTACTGATAATATTTTTTTTTTTCCATTTTCTTCTGTAATATTTATTCTATGTGGCAGATGAAAAATAAAATAAAATAAATAAATAAACAAATGATCTTTAAGTTGTTAAATACTTCATGGAATCCACAAGCAGATTGCAAGGAACCAACAAAGGCTATACAAAGAGAAGAATAAACAAACTTCAGCCGTTGTACAGAAAACGATAATTAATTCAAAATAAATACTTGGCCAGTTTTAGAGTCATTGCAATTATCCGCAGTACTGAAACCATAAGCTGCAAGTATATTCCACCATTGCCAAAAAGGCGGCACCGAGCATAGAAAACAGCACAGACATGACACAAGGTGCGATAAAATCGCCATTAACCAGAAAAGCTAAGATGGACGCCTTGAAGTCCATTTTTTATTCTATGCATAATATTTAATTTCCTATCTCCGATTTTGGTCCGTTTCGTCGCGGTTTAAACATATGGTTCACGAACTGTAATGCAGATATTAATAGAGGGGTTTAAGAAATGTAAAAAATCTGGAGGTTTTTAGTATCACAATAGTTCTTTGGATTTACATTACTATATTGCCCCGTGATATTTTCCCTAATACGTCGTTCATTCTAATCAAGAAATCATTTACATTTTGATTTGGAGGGCGATAAATTATACCAACAATAACGTTTATACAGAGAGAAGAATAAACAAACTTCAACCGTTGTACAAAAAACGTTAATTACTTCAGAATAATTACTTGGCCAGTTTCAGAGGCGTTATAATAATCCGCAGCACTGAAACCATAAGCTGCAAATATATTTCACCATAGCCCAAAAAGCAGCACCAAGCATGGAAAACAGCACAGACGTGACACAAGGTACGATAAAATCGCCATTAGCCAGAAAAGCTTTTTTTATTCTATGCATAATATTTAATTTTCTATTACCGATTTTGATCCGTTTTCTCGCAGTTTAAACATAGGGTTCAAGAACAGTACTGCAGATATTAATATAGGGCTTTAAGAAATTTCAAAAAATGCGGAGTTTTTTAATATCACAATAGTTCTTTGGATTTAAATTACTATCAGACCTAGAAAATCAAAAGGAAAAATATTTTGACCTTATTTTATCACATTAACAGACATTCATAAAAAATTAATTGCTTTGCTATTATGTAAAAAAATTAAAAAACATTGGATTTTAACCGAAAATTTTAATAATGTGTCTTGAGGTTTATATCAAGAAAAGTTGAATCTGATTCTAAGTTTCACTTTCCTTGTTTTCCCTTTCTTTGTTTATCCTGAAATCGCCAGACTTTTCCCTAACTACCAAAGTAGTCTTCACGTTCCTGACCAGCCTGGCATTTATTGTATCCTTCCTCGGTAACTCGATGGTGATCTATATAATCAGAAAGGATCAGCTATTGAAGTCCACTACATTCCTTCTAATACTCAACATGGCCTGTGGAGACTTGGTTACGACTACAGTAACGTGCCCGCCATTAATCAAGTTCTTGTTTGTTGGATTAGCTTGGATTCCTGGGGTTTTTGGAGGTCTGCTATGCAAACTGAATCTCTATCTCGTTTTGGTCGCTTTTCTGGGCTGCATCTTTAGCCTGACGGGGATACAAATAGATCGCTTTTTGGCTGTGATCCGACCACTGACACACTCACCCTGGACAAACTGGACAAAGGTTATTATTCCTGGAATATGGCTCGCGGCTATTTTACTTCCCATAAACATGTGGCACGAAATTGGCGGTAAAAGTTCCTCGAGTTCAGGACTGAACATTTCAGTCTGCTACGAAGAACAAGTTCCATTAAGTATGGGAATCACTCTCGGCATATGCTTTCTGCTTCCTTTCACAGTGATGCTCATACTTTATCCAATCATCATCTATCATCTGTGGACAAGGCAGGTCCCAGGAGAACCCAGCGCTCTGCAACAACAGAGGGCAAATCGTATGGCACGGAAAATCACCAAAATGATGGTTGCTGTTGTGCTTTCTTTCTTTTTCTGTTGGGCACCGCAATTTATTTTCGTCTGGATACATCCTCTGGTTGGACAGGCGGCAGCCACTTTACCCATCTGGTTACTTCCATTTATCCTTTGGCTACAAGCGCTTAACTCTGCCATGAATCCTGTTCTCTATGCGATCTTTAACGAATCTTTCAGACTTGGCTTCAAGAAAGTTATATTTCGTAGTATTTTACGGAGACGCGACGAGGAAGTCATGCAAAGTGCGAGGAATCAAATTCAAAACATAGCACTTGTAAGATTCCAAAACAACACAGGCCCGCAGAGATAAATTTGTTTCTACATCAGTAACAGATACAGCCACTGTGTTAAGAATATACCTTATTGGTACCTAATTTCTCGATTTTGGCGAGAGAGTATTTTGCGGGGTTTTATTTTCTCGATATCAACACGCAAATATGAGAAAAAGGCATAAAATTTCGCGATTTAAGCATTCTAAACTGGGAAAGCAACATGTGAAAGTGTTACAAATTAACGCTATTTTACTTACTGAAGATACAAAACGGAACTTACCAATATGACCAGCTATCAAGTTATGTTATCGATACATATCCTGTTTATGTTATTGTTATTTCAAGTTAATATTTTTTTCTGTGATTTGAATTTTCTAAATGAGTATTCAATAGGATTCTTCAGGATTGTGCTTTCTTTTGCAAATTACGGCTTTTGTTAATTTTAAACCTCACTGGGGCTGCCTAATTTAAATATGAAAAGAAAAACTAAGAATTCTGGTCGTAGTAGTAAAATGACGGCATCGTGCAAATGGCCTATTTCGCGTGCTTAAATTTCGCGTGGATTTATTTTCGCGATTTTTTTGCAATCGGTAAAAACGCGAAACTAAGTACCAATAAGGTGCAAGTACCTTGAGTTCGAAGCCCGGCGACCGATGTTTAGGCCCCAGGCCTCGAACCGTGTCGTGTCTTGTTTATATTTAAGGCCGAGGTGTGAACAGTGAACGTTAAGCCATCGAGTTGCGAATACCGGCAGCTCTTGTAGTTCTGGATCGAGTGCCGCTATTCTGGCAAATTTGTGTTCTTCACAAATGAAGTATTGAGTTATTTCACCTTTTTTGAAATTGGTTTGTATAGGTGAAACGAAGCGACGCCTCAAGGACAGATTTAACGAAGGCAGACGTGCAGTCGACAAAAATAACACTAACTCTAAATCCACTACTGTTTCTGAACACTTTCTCTCTCACTCTAACCATTCTCATGCTGACATGAAGTTAATCCCACTAGAGAAAATTCCTTCTTCACGTGACTCAGTTCGTAAGGCTAGGGAGTCGCATTTGATTGATAAGGCCATGACTCTATAACCTAATGGCCTAAACCGCCGTGTCGAATTATTGTAATCCATATCCTTATTATTTTTTCTTTTCCAGTTTTTTTGGGTTGTACGTCATTTACGCCTCTCCCTTTTAAACAATTTTTAAAGCGACATTCTCCATCTATATAACATTGTGATTCCTATCATAAATTCAGTAACATCTGTAAACCTGAAGAAGGCTGGTAAGGCCAGCCGAAATATTGTTATGAAAAAAAAATACACGTTGTTCTGATCAGCTTTGCAGTAGTCTTTGGACTTCTCGTTTTTGTCAAAGGAAGAATTTTGCTGTTGTTTTGTGCATAGAGCTGCAGAACGGATTTAGAGATCGTCTATGTATGACGTTGGGATGGTCCGGAAGTAACACGCCGCAATTCACAAAACCATATGACAGACTGCCACATTGCGCTCGAAGTTATCCTGAAACGAGGAACCGTCGTTATATTCCGCGGCTGCTGGACAAGCTGTATTACCTTATCAGTTGCATGATGGTGTCGCTATAGGTCACAAAGGGTGTGTACGTTTGGAATGCATTTGCCCAATCCCTAGACCTCATATTATTCCACGCTGCCTACGAGTTTTGGGTCACGTGGTCCGAGCTACAGTTTGTGAGGGCGCCTAACGACCTCTCGTCACGGATACGTCCGTCCGAAATGCATTGACCGAGAACGCCTGAGAAGACGCTGGACAGCCATACTCGTTTTTTTAAAAGCGAGCTTATGAAGGTTAACAGTCATTTCATTGGCCTCAAGACGCCAAGGCGCATAAAAGCCTTAACAAGTGATCTCAACACTTTCAAACATGAGAAAGGAAAGCCCACAATAAGGCGAAGTTTATCTTTTACAGACAGAAGAACGACTAAAAATATTCTGTTTGAGCCTCTTATTGACCAACCTCCTTCCCAAGGTTGTCTCCTGGAGAGAACCCCGGAAATGAGATTGCTTATTGACCATTACACTTCTTAAAACGGATCATGCAATGTCGAATGATATTTTGTTTAAGATCACCTGACGACATCGTCATGGCTAATCTCGGTTCTCTTCGCCTTACTTATGATGTCATAATTTTTAGCCACCCTCGTTTCCGCCTTCCTCTTTCTTCCACCCTCGAGTATGGCAGCGAGAGCCGAGGACCCTTAGAATGAGATCACATTTTAGGGGGCATCGTTGCTTGTTCAAGTCCTACTTCGACTACCAGCTGGATTTAGTCTGAGTTCGTCCCCGAGTTCGACACCTCCACCGCTCCACCACGACAACTGTTAACTAGAGCTCCTACAGTGCCGGATCCAGACCTTGAGATAAGGGGGGCCCGGTCATCCAGACCCAAAGATAAGGGGGAGGGGCGGTCTCCTCCCCCCAAAATTTTTTTGTCCCTTCTGTGCCCCAGTTTGATCGAAAAATAAGGGGGGGAGCTGGGTCCCCCGGGCCCCTCCCCTGGATCCGCCACTGTCCTAACTTGTCTTGACCGTGTCAACTCCGTATATATTTTCTTTCCCGTCATTTTGAGCGACACACGTCAACCGGAAGTGAGGTCTTCTGCCATTTGATATACCTTAACGCTAGCAAATTTACATCGCTAAGCTTCTTTACTCTTTCCGGGACGATTTGTCTGAGAATTTGGACAAACCCCTTGCCCAAGAATGGATAAAAACGTCTTTCCTTAAGCTCCCCTTTCTCTATTTCTTGCCACGCTGCATAAAAATATATTCTACATTTATTTTTCGTGGATTTGAAATTGTAACTGCGCTTCTGTTCTTTCCACTCTCTTGTGATCCGGTTTCTTGCCCCCGATTTTTATGGGTAGTGTAGATAAAAGGGGTTTTAAATCAAACTGGGACGCAAGTCCCATCTCATTTCATGTTTGCTTATTCGGTGGCGAATTCCTATATAAACTGAATTAACTATCGTGAGATTCCGAAAATAAGCCGCCCGGCTTATATTTTTCATAGGCCTTTTTTGAGGGACTTATATTAGGAAGGGGATATCAGTATACGGAGGGAAATTTGCGTTTCAAAATCGGCTAGGGTTATACTGGGAGCCGGGAAATATGCGTCTAAAAATCGATCGAGCTAGTTTATATTTGGTAGGAACGTAGATCTTTCTAAAACTCAGCCATGCAAGTACTTTGTCTATATGGACCGAGTGGGAAATCCACGCCAAGACTGAAGAGTGTACCACGCAATTAGCAATATACTGTGGCACTTTTTGACTGCCCTCATTTGGCACACGTAATAGTTCTTTGGCAAATGCAAAAATTTATGTGTTCCTGTTCAGTTTTTGCTTTGTTTCATTGAATTTGAGGGATATTTCCGAGTACAACCCCCCGGAGGCTTGTATTTGAGTCTTGTATTTGGAGGGGCGATTTATCGGAGGGTTTTTGCGTTACGTGTATGGGGGGGGGGGGATATAATCGGAGGAGTTCATTTTCGGACTTAAACGGTATATCACCCCACTGGCGGGTTCTGTAACGAGAACAAATCATAACGACGGGGTAACGTTTTATCTCGGAAACATGCATACATTTAAAAAACTCGTGACCCTCTTGAAAATTATTCACCGTTTCCTGGCTCCAAAGAAATGAGGTTTCAGTTCGTGCGTTTTTCAGTGTCGCGAAACATTTTCATTATCGATGGTACTCATGTTGAGGACAATCTTGATTTGCGTATTAAATTCCCGATAAGAAGTTAGATTCAAAGCTCGGACCAAATTAACACCTCCACCTGACTGCATGACATATATGCGCTCCTAAATCTGTTTTATGGAGGTGTTATCCATTCAACTGAGTTTTTCCACTTGTTCAGACAAAGAAACAAATCCTTTTTTAAAATTAAAATCTAGCTAAAATTTTGAGAATAATTTTATACAGAATTTAAAAACTAAGAGGCTTGATATAGTCAAAATTTGCAGAAATTAATGCTTCATTTATTATGCATAAATTGTTCAATATCGACTTGAGTGGTTTCTTTGTAAAAATGTGACAAAGTATCATTTTGCCTTGCAGTTCTATTGTTAATTACAAGAAAATATTAAATATGTCGCGAAAAGAATAGTCTCTGTTGGCGATGGCAGGATACTCTTTTGGAACCACATGAAAAATCACAAGGATTAGTGACAACTTAAACAATATGAAGTATCAAAAGTAGGTTGAGTTTGAAGTATAAAACCACTTCTCAATTTTCTGAAACAGCTGCAGATTTTTGTTTACACAGTCCTCGAAAAAAGAAAAAAAACGCAGTCGAATATCGGTTGAAGAAAATCATTTCATACCAAGTTCAATTTCAGGTTCATCTTTACAAGTTTTCTTTCAGATAATTGTGAAATAAATAATTTAAAGCTGTTCAAACACCAAAAAATAGTACATGATGTAGCTTACCAATTTAGACATATTCGACGTCATTTCCGGGAATCAGACCATAGTGACCGAAACAATGCAGTTTGACGTCACTCCGTCGTAACCAAAACAAAATTCACCCTTTGCACCTGCTGATTTGGGACAAATTATTTGGAACAAATTTCGGTGATTTTGTGGATAGGTGAAGCTTCAATAGAATTTTTTATATAGATGCATTTTACAGGAAGCCACTTTCCGATTCGGCTGATCACAAAATCGAAAATGCAACGGCTAGATAAAAATCGTAATGTACGCTTCGCTAAACAGGTGCTATTTACGGTCATTTTGAATTTTAATTAGTCTCGCGTTTGCTTATATTGCGATTAGCGATCGAGCGTTGCTTATTTCCCCCCGGATCTTAGCAGGATGCGTAGTGCAGCCATTTTTCTGACACTGTAAGTGCTGGATTCAACCATGGCTAATCGTTTTCGACAATTTCGTCTACTCTTATGGAAAAACTTTATATTACAGGTAAGCTTACGTTTAAATCTCCTTGTGCCGCTTTAGCTCCAAACTTAGACTAACAACCGATCGATTTTTGTTGCGTGTATTAACTTTGTGCTGACTAATTCTCTTCTTTTTATTGAAGATCCGCCGTCCGATCGGAACTGTTTTCGAACTCCTGTTGCCGGTGCTTCTGGTCGCAGTATTAATTCTGCCAAAGTAAGCTGTATTACCGTAACTTCGCTGTTAAGGACAACAAGCATACTAATATTACGTAATGTTTTCAGCATGAAGAAATATTTATTAATTTATGTAGTCTCTTTAAAAGTAAACAAAGTTAGTTCATTCATCTTTTGGTAAAAGTAAAAGTAAAAGTAAAAGTAAAAGCGCTTTGCAAATTATTAGAGAACGCACGGATTACCCGAAGCAACCCGTGCAATTCCATTCCCGTTAATATTTGTGTGGTTTATGCTGAAAAGTGCTTGTTGAATTGCGTTAACTCTAAACAACAGACCAATATCGACATTTTCCTCTGCTAAAATGTGCAGTTCTACATGTTCATCTTACAGTCACTTCCAAGATGGTCCTTCTGTCATTTTCATCATTAAATAACGAAAACACGGCCTGCCCAGTATTTTTGTGGTCTGAATAACCTGTGTAAACTTTGGACAGTAGACCAATATCTAACTGAGCTGATATTTACAGTTTGTATCTTGAGTCCACTAAGATGATATTTACGCCACTTACATTAAGCTTTTAAATAAGCATAAAATTGAACATAGTTTCACCACCAGAAACTCCCAAGACCTTGATTCCTTTATAAAACATGCTAGAAGATAAGAAGGCGACGAACATTACGTATCCTATCACCAGTACCTACATTAAATTCGGACATAAAACCACATGCTGATGTGCTATCACAAATTATGAGGTTGTAAAAAAATAAACACCAGGGCCAAGTTGTTTGAAGGCCAATGTTGTAATTTTAATCCAGGTTCCTGTTTGAATCTTAAGATTTCAGCAGTTCTTGGTCGACAGGGGTATTTTGCAGAATGCTCACGCCAAATACAGAACACCGAATGACTCTGAGTTCAGTGATTGGGGTTAGGAAACTGGGTGAATCATGGTCCGCTTTGGGTCATTTAACCAGGGGCATTCAATGAGAATATATTCAAACCACTTAAACATAGCATTGTTAAACGTATTTTAGCATTTAAACGGTAGATATAGGCATATTTTCATCCCCTAAATACTTTTCATCTGTTCGGATTTCCTAGCTGAAAGTCTAGTGATCCGAAAACTATAGGGATCAAAACTTACCTTTTCGAAAATTTCAGCCAGAAAAAAGGCTGCCGAGAATTCTAGGTGACCTTTTAAAAAGGGTAAAAATCCGTTAAAAATAGGCAATTATACCATTATTTAGATGTTCAAAAATCCTAGGAGAGGCAGGCAAGCAAGAAATTTTGCAACAAATGTTCCGAAAATTCTAGATCTCAAATCGTCTTCCGAACAGATATTTTCCGAAAATTGTCGTTGGGTGCCCCTGATTTAACTTGGAAAACAGACCTGAAACTTAAGGTGACTCGACCCAGTTTTTGGGGGGGAGGTACCATCCTACTTTGAAGCTCTCTCGTATCCCCACCTTTACTTTTACTGTAAGTCTAACACATAGAATAGATAACATATAGGGATAAGTCACATAGTTTATTAGGTATAATCGTGTAAAATTTGCTTATCCTTTTCGCATAAATTATGACCTAAATTTGGAAACCGCTGAATTTCTCGAATTGGGTCTTTGCGATTTTGGTGAAACTCTGTTCAGTGCAAGGCACTAGTGCGCACTATGTGTAGCCGAGAGATTTTCACGAAAAAATGCCGGCAAGTCGTCTAAAAGCTGAGTCTGGAGTTTCCCCGCACCGTAATATTGGTGCACTTTAAATGAGGCTAGTGGTTTTTAAAATACAATATAACTAGATTGATCTATATGTTATCCATTCTATGTGTTAGACTTACAATAAAAGTTAAGGTGGGGATACCAGAGAGCTTCAAAGTAGGATGGTACCTCCCCCAAAAAAAACTGGGTCGAGTAACCTTAATTCACTCAGTTTCCTATAACCCTAATGACGAAACTTCAGAGTGATTTAGTGTTCTGCAGTTCAAGGAACACCAAATGCAGAATGCTGAATGACTCTGAAGTTTAGTGATTAGGGTCAGGAAACTGAGTGAATCAGGTTTTATTTAGGGTCATTTGTTAATCTACTGGGAAAACTAACCCGACACTTGATTCACTCAGTTTCCAAACCCTAATCATCAAACTTCAGAGCCATTCTAAAATTTATAAACTGTTGTAAATAACACGCGAACTTTCCGTATAAACGGCCATTTCGACTAAAATAAGACGCGGCTTAGCTAAGACGAGTCTTATTAGATAAGACATTCTCGTATAAATGGTACAGTTTGCGTCTTATTTAAGACGCGTCTTATGTAAGACAAGTCTTATTTTTCCTCGTATAAATGACCCTAATATCTACAGGGCTTCTATGATATCGTAGCCTGAGAAAACAGCCAAATTAATAATTTATTGTAACAGGCACGTTTTATGGCGTTAACTTTCATAACCATCACACTGACGATGACAGATGTACTGTCGAAACATGTTTGTTAAAATTTAAAAAGGCACATTTATTATTTTTGAAAATGTATATTGATTTCATCTTCTGGTTGTTTGAAAAGGCAGTATATTTTAATAGGGTGTTTAAAAACACCCTGTTTCACTAACAGATTTTTAACTGAGTGAAACTGTCTTTTTGTTTCTGGTTTATTTTTCCAGTAATCCAAGTACAAAATTAATTAGAATACTAAAATAAACGTCCCTTCCCGAACTCAACTCCAATCGATCATGTGCATTAAAAAACTACATTTGAAACTGTTTTTGTTTGCTGTCATTTACAGGCAATTTATAGATACAGAAGACTTTTGCTTCAGTAAGTAAAACTGTTTATTGACTTTCAATAACAAGACATTGATTGAAATAGTTGGCTTCCAGGTGTTGAAATATTGCAGAAAGCAGTGAAAATTCCAGTGACAATAGATCTGGTTGGATGTGCCACATTAGCAAAAGGAGTTAAGCTTATCTAAGCTACCATGCAAAAACCTGATGCTCATGTACCTTCAAAACCATCACGGTTTTCCGGAATGTCATACGTTTGTTTGTGCGTTGTATCCTTCTTTTCGTTTTCATCATCTTAATCCTGAAAAGTGACCACGGTTATCTACAACTTTAGCTAGTCCACCATTTTGTTTATGGGTTATTCTTTCATGTTACGCTTACGCCAAATAGACCTAGTGTTTCATATAATAGTAATAGAATGTCCATACTCATGTATACCCTTTATGCCCTGTATACCCTTGTTTATGACGGCTGAGAAGCCTGGCCTCTTTTCGTGGTAGGCACTATACGGTGGCCTTACATAAAGTAATTGCTTAACAAACATGATCTCTTAGCTTGTAGGTTATGTTTGAAATCCCAATATTCTGAACACGTGATGATCTCGAGGGAATTTGCCTTTTGTTTTTCCTTTAATTTTATGCACCACATATGCATGAGGTCATTTGAAAGAAACAGTTCTCTGGGGGTAGCATCACATGTTCTGTAAAGTTATGGGGAAACAAAACATACAGTACCCAAACGTACAGGCTAAAAGATCTATGGCCCATGCTTTATTATGGAGGACGTTCCACCTCAAACGTACCACATTATATAGTAGAGTCAAGATGAGTTCTGTACAGTGGAAGGAGACAGTTTTATAGTTGTGATGTAGACTCATGTTGAGCAACTTTATGCCTGTAGTTTGGGGAAGTCCCCACAAAAAATATATTCTGAATATGCAGGTGGCAACAGCAAATGCTATGAGGCTTAATGGTAAAAATTACCATCAATTTTCAACATGAAATATCTCTCAGTGTAGCTGGACGTATGTATTTGTATGCAGTCAAGCTAGAGGTGATGGTAACGACGATTTGTTTAACCCTTTAAGCACCAGTATTCACATACAAATTCTCCAAACTGATCTCTATACATTTCCTTAAGGAATTAGTTGAGAGAATTTGATAACAGATCAAGGCATTTTCTCTTGTGTGATCATTTTATTAATTCTCATAACTTATCTCTTGACAGTGTATGGATATTGTTTGGAGAAATTTGATCTTGGTCACTATTGGGACTTAAAGGGTTAATATGTGATGTTTTATCTAACCAGGTACTTTTGAACCAATGGAATCCAGAGACCTAAAGGAGGGTTTGCTTAAAAGTTTACTTGATGAAGCCAAAAAGGATATAAGTGAACAGCCAGGGTTCAATGTAAGAACCAATATCTCCAAGCTGAATGCAGATGCTCTGAAAAGTATTGAAAACAAGACGTATCTTGCGTACTACCCTACATCTCCCTTAGGTGAGAATAGTATTACTTAGATGCTTGAACTAATGAGTTTTATTGGTCTGCCACGCAAAAATGCAGTGGTTATCCTGTTTGCTGGCATGTATGGGGTCTTTGAAGTCCCCTTCCCAGAGATGCCAACCTCTGGAGATCTAAAATCTGGAGATTCTATCTCTTGCACCTACTCTGGATTTAATGAGTAGCAAGAAACTAAAATTTCCTTACCACAGTGGAGGCGTACTTTAGGGATTTTTGGGTGGGGATGTGCTGCTGGGGCCCTGGAACCCTTAGTCTATATCATAGCTAGTTCAGCTGAATTTTGCTACCCTAGACTAAACTAAATTCCCCAAATTCCCCCCTATCCTAGAGTACCTGTTTTCCAGAAACTACTGAGGCCAGTAAAACAGTCCAGCCAGAGGCACATAATTAGACAAGACAAGACAATATACTTTATATAGGGTCTTATACCAGCTGGGCATTGACCGTTTTCCAAATAATTTAAAATTGCAATCTTCTATGTTATGTCTTCTATGTATGGCAGTCAATAGCTATTGACTCAGAGACCATGAGGGCAACTAGTGGTCTATTATCAATGCTGCATTCTGATTGGTTGAGCTAGTACTAGGCTATATTTTTTAGCCCACTAGTAACGAAAAGCACCGGCGTTGAAAACCAAAACAATGGCGGCTGAATCGCGTTTTGCTAGCTAAAGTTGTTTTGTCCTGATATTTTTGACCAACTATTTGGAGTTTACTAATAATTATTCTCCTCATGAAAATTATAATCAAATTCTCTATTTTTTAGTAACAAAGCTTATGACAACTGTGGTGGGTTTAACTGGGTTGAAGTTAGCACCAAGAAGTCTTTCTAGTAACAAGAGCTGGGCATCTGGTGATGAAATGGCTAAAGAAGCTTCTGAAAGTGATGTTTATTTTGGAGGTATGTGGCTGAAAGTAAAGTAACCACTTTCATATAAAAATCATACTACAGTAGTATTACTCACCTGGTACTTGCTTCCTAGTTGCCAGTTGTACATGCACGTAAATAAAAGCAACATTTTTTAGGACTGCAAAATTAAACATTTTTTCAGATCTGCCGACCTGCAGGACTTAAAGATGCAGAAAGTTTGAAAAAAGGTGGTCCAAAAACTGACCTGTGAGGGACCACCTCCCTGTGGCATCTGGTGACTTTTGGCACTTTTGGTGATTGCTCACCGAAATTTTGATTGCACTTAAATCTGCTGCTGGTTTTGCTTTCAGCGTTTGATTTTGCCATAAGTGCAGATGCCAGTGAACTTCCTAAGCAAGTCAAATACAGTCTGCGACTACCACATGAGCAGGGTGGTAGTCAAAGCCGCTGGAGGACAGAAAATACCTATCCAAACTTTCAAGCTGTGGGACCAAGAAAGGACGACGAGGGGTGAGGAAAATAGAATCACTAAACTCAGTGCATGTAGTTTGTTAAAAAAATAAACTGTAATTTATTCAAATGAGACCTTAAACTGCTGTCTGTTTTAAAAGGTATAAAAATCTGAGCTTTTACCGATCAACTGCAATGCACCCTGATGGTGCCATGCATTGATGAGCGAAAGCTAAGATTTTTATTTCTCTCATTTTTTAAGAACATCATGCTGCTAAAGGACAACTCAAACAGATGTTTACATGTAATAGTTTTCAGTATAAAATTTTAAAAAAAGATTAAAAAATGGCTTTGGTGTACTTGAGGAGAATTTGACCTCAGTGGCTAAGTAATTTCGTAATGTTCTGTGATGGTATAGTTTTGGTCTGTAACTTACTACAACAAACAACTACAGGTGAAATACTAATGATCCTTCATAGATTTTTGTTTCTGAAGTCTTTTTAGTCCTTGTGGAGAATGTGACAAAATCATCAGAAATGTTCATAATAGTCTGACAGTACAGCTGATTGGAAAAAGCTTAGAAATCTCCTCACTTTAATAATAATTATTATTGAATGACAATTGCACTCCATGATTAACTCTTCAGCCACCTGTGGCTTAGCTTATGTGCATCTCGGTTTAGCGCACACTTGTCATGGGTTCAAATCACATTGAGGACTTAAGGATTTTACCCATCATGCACTCATGATGTATGACACATACACTCGATTCCAATGTTAAATCCTATTGTAAACTTTGCATAAAGCATTTTCTAATATTTTTTTATTTATTATTTTTTAGTTTTTGCTGTAAAGGGTATAGAGAACGGTTTGTGCCATTGCAGTATGCAATAGATATGGCAATCATTCTAGAGCAGTCTCACTTAACTGAACCAATACCACTCAAACTACAGGTGAGTACAGTTCGTAGGTATCATAACTATTTTGATCAAATGAAAGGTGTGTCAAATGTTTTTACAAATAGCAAATTCTAGTTGCATTTGAAGGTTCTTCATTAGTTGCTATTGAGGGTCAGTCCAAAAGGGTTCTTCAATCCTGTCATCCCAACCCAAATTTTTGTCCAATCCAGTAAATAATCGCATTAGTTATTTTTGGCATCTTGCATCACTTGCATACTTTTAATCTTGAATCTCGCCCCCATTTGCTTGAAAATTTTTAATCCTGGCCTTCGGACAGGGTAAAGCCAGCATCCCAAAAAGGTGCATGTACTTGCAGCCTTGGAAGTCTGAGAGTCTCATTTCTATTGCAAGGCTGAGGAAGTCTCAGAGCAGGAGGGACTATTTTTAGTCTGAAATATCAACCATCTCTTTGCCCCTTCAATCCTACAAACACTATGCCCGCCAACACTGGGCAGCCAGGTGAGACTCTCTATCTGACTCTCTCTCTCAGTCTGTCTCTCATTGATCAAACATATGGTTAACAATACATTTTCTTTTTCAGCAATTTCCATATCCAAAGTACACACAGAACCTCTTCATACAGACAGTCCAGGGCCTTCTTCCTCTGCTCATGACACTTGCATTCATGTACTCTGCCGTCATGGTCATAAAGGTCAGTTTGTCAGTATTTATGTATTTTAAAGGGTGCTACATAGGAGTCTGTGATGGTAATAAGACTCATGCCTTATTGCTTTTTCTTGTTATAGGAGCTTGTACATGAGAAACAGAATCGTCTGAAGGAGTCAATGAAGATGATGGGATTGGCAAACTGGATTCACTGGACTGCTTGGTTTACGAAGAACTTGTTGTTCCTTCTCATTTCCATCATCATAGTCACTGCCTTGTTGAAGGTAAGTAAGGAAGCCTTCAATAACATAACCCTTGATGTCGCAAAAGTGGCCAGCATCAATTTAACAAGTAGATTCCTTGTTGCTGTACATCTGTTAAGTAATAGGCTGATTTAGCAACAGAATGGGAACGTCAGTTGATGACAGCATGCACAAATCAAACAACTGGCTTGACCAATGGTAGATCGGCAAATTGAGCACCGGAAGTCACGTTTAGTCCTTTTTGCGCACTTTCCTGCCATCAACCAACGTCCCTGTTCTGTTGCTAAATCAGCCTAGTAGATAACAGATGACGTCAAAAAGTAGTAAAAACAAAGAAGTGGCACACAAGCCACAGGTGAGAGGGTCACTGATGTTTTAACCACATTTTGACGTTTTCTGTGAACTAGTCCTGAACAGACCCACGGCAACATGAAATTTATTGACTTAACTGCACTGACCAGTCCCTCTTTGTTGTATTGCAAATTCACTACAACTTTTTTTTGTTTCAAAAGGGTGCTAAGATATTTCAATTCTCAGATGGTGGCCTCCTCTTCGTATTTCTTCTCTTATACATCATAGCCAGCATTATGTTCTGTTTTGCAATAAGGTATGGATCATCTCATTTTTTTTTAGTTAAATACTTTAAAATTCCCCCCCCCCCCACAAACTCCCTTACTTGGATTTACAGGGATAATGCAACAAATAATTCCAATGGAACATAACATGGTTAAGAATCCTAACTGGTAGGAGGTGAATCGGTTGGCTGATTTACAAGTGTGACTGAGCAATTGAAGTCCGGACTAACAAGAACGAATCCAGTTGGCAGTCAGGGCAGGATTTGGGGCCTCTGGATTTTAAGTGCAGCACTCTAACTATTTGGCCCACACCGCCTCTTCCATTGTCTTTGATTTCTGCTTGGGCTAGAAATGTTTTAGTTTCTCTGTAAAATGTTAAAAGTAGTTAAAAAATGAAACAAAATTAACAGTGTTTCAAGAGGGTGACACTTAACAGCTCCAAGGACTGGCTAACCTTTAGCCTTATAAGTGTCTCCAACTATTTAGGGCCACTTTAGTGACCTTATTGGACTTAGGAATGTTGGATTTTGAGGAGAGAGGAAAACCAGAGTACCCTGTAAAGAACCTCTTTCAGCAAGAAAAGAACCAGCAACAAACTCAACCCATCCCATCCCACATATGACATTGGTGCCAAGACTCGAAACCTGGGCTAGTGCTCTCACCAGTGTGCCATCCCTGTGCCCCTAAATGGATTTTGGATACATAGATCATATCTTTTTATTTGATTTTGATTTCATTTGCAGTGTATTTTTCTCGAGGCCAGTGGTTGGCATGCTGTTTGGAGCAGTCTTGTGGTATTGCTCTCTTGTTCCTTTCCAGACATTTTCTCAGCAGGAGGCTTATGAGGCTTTGTCAAGGTATAACAATCTTTTTTTTTTAATCATCTTGATCAATACCAATGTCAATATCATCATCAACATATTCAGCATTATTTGTCACAATTCTGCCGTCATTATCATCGCCATCATCATCGTTATCAATATATGATGATCATCATGAAGTCATTGCCATTGCCATCATCATCATCATCATCATCATCATTTATATTTAATATACCAGTTGTTACATAGGATGCAGATAAAAGCCTTCCTTTCCAGTCTGATGGGCCTGCAATATATTTGTTTTTCTTTTTCTTGCTAACTCTACTTGCACTGATCATAATAAGCTCCCATCTGTGTCTCCAGATCTTAGGAAGTCAAAGCTAAGAAGAGGAGGCATTTGCCCTCATCAAAAAAAAAAAAACACCCAGAATCTGGATGGATTTGAACTCCTGCCCTCCTCTCCACTAACTCAACATTTTGCTTAAAGTGAGAAGTTAGTGTTTATGCTGGGTCATGGGAAGGGTACCTGGGGAGTTTACCAAATCTTATACTGATCCCACTTTTCTCTTTTTTCTTTACGTTTTTATTGCAGGGCAGAAAAGGCTGCTTCTTGTCTTTTGCCCAACACTTGCCTTGGAATTGCAACATACATCATTGCAAGGTTTGAGAGCAATGAAGTTGGTTTGACCTGGGATAAGGTATCAGCCTCGCCAACTCCTGAAGACGACTTCAGCTTCTCCATGGTCTTAGGAATGCTTATTATACAGAGCATCATATACGGAATCATCGCGTGGTATGTTATTTTGTATATTTCATGTTACATTTCAACTTGACCATGTGGCCACCCAAAGGGTAGCATGCAAATACATCTGTGTCTCCTCATACCTGGCCACTTAGGACTTTTCACGGGGGAGAGACATCTGCACCTCGATGACAGAAATTCCATAGTGGTGACATAAATCAATGTTTACATAACTAATTTGGTAATCACCCTAACCTTAGGAGATTCTGGCAGATTTTGTCTTCAGTATAGCACTTCTTTCATTAAGGCAGAGACGTTTTTCCAGTGAAACCTCCCTAGCGGTGAGAAGCAAGGAGAGAGGAGAGACAGCTGTATGCGCAACCTACCCAAAGGGTGAAAAGAGTAAAAAGTCCTTACTTTACGTCTGTAGCTCAAAATAGTCATCATCTCACTGACAAACCTGAGACTGATGGTGTATACTCTTTCTGTCCCCCCCTCAAGACCATCTGTTTATGAGTTAACCTTTAAGTATTTGACTGACTTCAGGTATGTTGAGGCAGTATTTCCTGGCAGCTACGGCATTCCCAGACCGTTTTACTTTCCATTCACCAAGAGTTATTGGTGTGGAACGTCCAGTGATGATGTGATTGATGTTCGAGCAGAAAAGGTAGGGAGCTTATCATTATCATCATCATGACATTACCTATGGAAAAAAAAAGGTCACAACAATTGTTTACAGCCTTTCCTCTCATCATCACCATAATCATCTTCACTATCATCACCATCATCATCATCATTCATCATCATTTCCACCATCACAATTGTCATCATCATTACCACCACCACCGTCATCATCATTATCATCATCTACCACCACCATCACCACTACCATCTTCGTTATCATCATTTACGAAAAACACCACCATCATCATTGTCTACCAAATCCACCATCATCATTATCATCATTATCATCACCTACCACCATCACCACCACCATCATCATCATCTACCACTACCACCATCATCATTATCATCATTATTATCATTTACACCACCACCACCGACCACCATCACCACCACCATCATTATCATCTACCACCACCACCACCATCATCATCATCATCATCATTATCATCAACTACCACCATCACCACCACAATCATTATCATCTACCACCAGCACTATCATCGTTATCATCTTTATTATCATCACCTATCACCATCACCACCGCCATCATCATCATCTACCACCACTACCACCACCATCGTAATCATTATCATCAACTACCACCATCACCACCACCATCATCGTTATCATCATCATTATCATCATTTACCACCACCACCACCACCATCATCATCTACCACCACCACATCCATCATTTCCACCACCATCATAATCTACCGCCACCACCACCATCATCGTTATCATCATTATTCTATTTATCATCCGTATCATCATCTTCGTTATCATCTATTGTTGCAGTAAAGTTTTTTGACTCTCTTTTTATGGCTTGGTCTTTGTTATTTAGGAAATGAACCCAGTAGAAAGGTCAGACAACCCTGATATTGAAGATGAAACTCATGACCTGCCAGTTGGTGTTGGCATCAAAGATCTCAGGAAGGTGTTCAAGGTAAGCAACCACAACAACAACAGAGTTGTGTTGGTCAAATTTTCTGATAAGCTATCATTTGACATGAACTAACAGTAACTGTTTGTCGTTTTTAGGGTTCAGCTGGCTCTAAAGTCGCCGTAGATGGATTGTCTCTTCAAATGTACAAAGGACAAATCACAGCTTTGCTGGGCCACAACGGTGCTGGTAAAACAACAACCATGTCAATTCTCACTGGTCTCTTTCCTCCAACTTCTGGTTCAGCTCACATAAATGGCAAGAGCATATTGACAGATATGGATGCCATCCGAGAGAGCCTGGGACTGTGTCCTCAGCATAATGTTCTATTTGACAGGCTAACTGTTAAAGAACATTTGGAATTCTTCATCAACTTGAAGGTAGTTTTATCTTGATGTATAGCATATTTATTTGATCAAGTAGGATTTTAAGCATTTTGATGTGATGTTTATTCAAGGGTGACATTTGTTTTGAAATCACTCTGATCACTGACAAAAATTACGATAACGGAATAAAAAGAAGGTTATGTCTCGCTGAGATAGAAGTGAATTTTAATTGTCTGGATGTTGTACTTAACCAAGTTTGTCTGGACTGAGGTTTTTCATATAAACCTTGAATAAATGACGCATTGAGACGTTTTTTCAAGGGCGGTGTTTTTAATTGGTAATTTTTCTTCTAACTCCGGCATTTAATCAAGTAAATATGGTAAATTGTATAGAGTTTCCAAATGAATTCTTTCGTTTGTGACCTCTAGTGTAAATGTTGGGACTACTTCCTCCCTGCTTTTCCTCTTTCTAGTTCTTGATCATCTTTCTTTTGCACATCCCCTAATTTGAACTTTCTGCAAACTCCAAGTTAGGCCAAATGTGTACGATGTTAATCGTTCTGTTCTGCAACACAGCATTTGTCCTCATGAACACTGATAGCCATTTCTCTAACAGAAAGGCCCAGTTTACATAAGTTGACTTGGGCCATCTAACCAGATAAATCATTGTCCTGTGAGTAAGTTTTAGGGAACCAGTTGTAACATTCAGTGGGTTGAGATTTATCCACGTTTTGTTCAAGTGAGCCCTGGTAATGAGTGACCATCGAAATACAGAGTTGGATTTAAATTAGTTATTTATTGTTTTTTATTCCCTAGGGCACATTTGGCGAGCAAGCTCAAATGGAAGTACTTCAGATGATCAATGATATCCAACTCACTGATAAAATGAACTGGTCCTCATCTAAACTTTCAGGTGGAATGAAGCGAAAATTGAGGTAACTCTTGAAGGCTGTTTTACCTCCTTAAACTGCTTAAATCGCACCCATAAACAGTCGGAAATTTCAGCGTGATTTATCGTATCTAAGTCGCCCCAAATTCGACTTTGACTGAAGTTTAGTGCCACTTCGCAGCTATTTTCAAGTTCTATCCGCCATGTTTGCTTATGAGCAACGCACGTAGGCTTATCATTAAAAACAACAAAAATACTACTTTTTGTAAAATGAGAGACAGATCGAGTCTCTGTTGCGACAAATCAAGCAGCATTGCTTATAAACTTGAAAGAATTTGAAGTCATGAAATTAGTTGAAGTAATCCCCCCCTTCCTCCCGTGCAATGAATGGTGCTGTCAGAATTTTCATCTCTATTAAGAACGCCTTTTCTGTATATATATTTTTTTCAGTTGTGCTATTGCTCTCATTGGAGGGTCACAAACTGTGTTCTTGGATGAACCCACCTCCGGAATGGATCCTTATGCCAGGAGAGGGACCTGGGACTTGCTACTGAAACACAAAGCTGGAAAGACCATTATCTTGACTACCCACTTCATGTAAGTTTCATTTGCTTTTGAACGACTAATGTAGTGTCCAATGTGTATTTTTAGTAGTGATAAGTTTTATTATAATGAAATTTTATGACCATTCAATGCTTGCATGCCTCACTAAGACCGTGTCATGTAAAAGCCCACGTTCACCCCAGATGCACTGCTCGGTGAGGAACAGTTTTTTAAACAAGAACCGCTCTACGCCGCAGAAACAGTCGGAAAATCTATCTGTTAAAGGTGGACTTTAAAGCATATTTAAATCACTTGAAATTCTCTCGGGAAGGAGAAATTGTTCTAACAGAAAACAGGACTTTGAGATGTGTACCTTGTTCATAATTAACAAGACGTTAATTCTATTACTCATAAACAGACTCTCCATTTAAGACAATAACAGTCTTTAGACTTGGTAGTGTGTATTTCTTTCTTGTTATTCGCCACTTTAGAACCAAAAAGGAAAGTGTGTCAAGTTAACTTTCGCAAAGTCTTCTAGGAAAGGGAAAATTAGCCAATAGCTGACCGGCGCATCCCCAGTAATGATCCCAGAAAAAAATTGCTGTTCTCATCTAGGTTCCAATTCCCTTATTTTTTCTGAGGAGGCGAAGCCAGTAGTGCTATCATGAAAGAACATTGTGGGTAGTTATTATCGTTGTGACTTTATTACTGACACATTTTAAGGGATGAAGCAGACTTTCTTGGTGACCGGATTGCTATCATGGCTGACGGACAGCTGAGATGCTGTGGAAGTTCGTTGTTCTTAAAGAGCAGGTACGAGTTGGGGATTTTTATGACTCACTGTATTTTCCTTCTAGCCTAAGACCCTGTCCACAGTAATGTGTTTACGTGTCACAGAAACCATATTGATCACTAGCGTTTTTGATGCGTTTTCGACTGCCATACTAACTTGTTTGAAACTGATAGCCCCAATTGAAATATTGTCTCATCTTGTATTGACAGAAGAAATCTCAAGATAAAATTGATTTTGGCTTTCCAAACATTGAAATTCTGAATTTTGGCTTTTCCAAAGATTGGAAAAAAGATAAAATTTCGTCGATCAATACTTGAGCTAATACATTTTATGCTCGGTCGTTAGTCCATGTCTATTTAACGCTTACTTATTAGATATGATATTTATATCACACATACTTATCAGATATGGTATTTGTTTAACCCTTACTCATCAGATATGGAACTTATTTCACTGTTATAAGATACGGAACTTATTTCACACTTACTTATCAGACATGGAATTTATTTCGCCCTTGCATGTCAGGTATGGTGTTGGATACCACTTGACGCTAGTAAAGAAGGAGGAATGTAATCAAAATTCAGTGACAAGTTTGATCGTCAATCACGTGCCAGATGCTCAGCTGCTCAGTAGCGTGGGTGCTGAAATGGAGTTTGTTCTGAGCAGTGAGCATTCCAGTGGCTTCGAGACTCTCTTCCAGGAAATAGAAAGTAAGTTGCGTCTCGAAAAAGTCATTTATTATAGACCATTAGATTTATTTTATTTTTTATTAGCTTTGCCCTGAAGAATACAAGAAAAAAAAAAACACTGTAGATATGCAAACACTAGTAATAAGAACGTAACAATACACTAATAATAACTTAAATATTAGGACAAGGACACCGCAACAGCTAAAGCCAATTACTGCGGACCCAAGATTCTAAGACGAGATCGACTACGAGTACGAGATTTTCTCAATACTAGGTAGTGCTCGCGCGTAGCGTCATTTTTGCGGGAAAAAGTGGTAACCGTTGTCATTCCACTACGAGTTTTGGGGAGAGTTCCCTAATGGCGAGAATAAGTTATCAAATGTTAGACGTTTTAGCATTTTGCAATCGGGAGAGGTCTTAACCTCCTTCAATAACGATAACAGTGGTAACTTTTCTGGTGAAAAAAAGTGCAATGAAGATTCCGGGGTGTCTGGTTTTTAAGAGACCTCCGTTAGATTCTAAGACGAGGAGGACTAAGAGAACGAGATTTTCTCAATACATGTACTAATAATAGTGCGCACGCGTGAACCCGTGTCATTTTAGCGGGAAAAAGCGATAAACATAGGCAGTCTATTACGGGTTTTAATGAGAATGTCGTAGTGACGGAAACAGGTTATCAACGGAGGGAGCTTAAACTACTTTAATAACAAAAAAAGGTAAAATGAAGCCTTCCGGAGTGTCCATTTTTTGAGAATATGCGAAAAAACGTTTAGTCTAATCTCGTCGCCGAATCTAAAAAGTCTCCAATATCGATGAGAACCAGAACTGTGAATGTGAATTGTATTTCACTATACTATATATTACTTGCAAAAAAAGAGAAAATAACAATGAAATTCGTAGCTTTAAAATAACATTCAGAACTGACCAACCACAAGAAATCCTTGCAAGAGCTCTTACAATAATTGTTTGTTGCATCATTTTACCCTCCAGATAAGATGGAAGAATATGGAATTGCTAGCTTTGGAGTGTCGGTTACAACATTGGAAGAAGTCTTTATGAAGGTCGGAGAAGGGGCCGAGAAAACTGTGGATGATTTGTAAGTGACGCTGTTTAACTTCCTACCACTGCTTTTTTGACGGTTTTCTTTTACTTGAAACAGCGAACTAAAGAGAAAATTTGCGCAACAGGAAGGGAGAGGAAAGAAGACGGCAAACCTTGTGTGGCAAGCGTGACAAAAATTGTTTGAAAAAACTTTCCGTCAATTTTCCCCTTCCTTTAAACACACCATTTTTTAAAAGACCAGAAATCGTTAATTTTTAGTAAAGATCGCGACAAAACACACAAGTGATAGCCCTGTCACGTTTGTCACACACAGACGTTTTGCCACTGTTAAACTCATTGGTTAACTATTGTATTTCTAGAGCCCATGATCACAATATCGCTGGCCAAGAAGCTCAACAAATTGTAAACATTGCTGAAGTTGAAGATCCTCAGGGAGGAGGTAGAGTGTTCGGCGTGTTTTTCGTCCCCAGGGCTTTACCCCATTTTACAAAGGCCTGTTTACATGGAGGTGGGGGACCCCAGGTAGGTGAGGTAACCCGTTTAGGTGGGGTTACCCAGCTGTCCATATAATCTCTCATTTCAATTTGATCACGTTTACATGATAGGTGGGATGACCATATGAAAGATTATATGGACTGGCGGGTTACCTCACCTACCTGGGGTCCCCCAGCCTCATGTAAACAGGCCCTAAGGTTGCGTGTTTTCATGAAGTTTGAGCAGGGATATTTCTGCTGAAGGCTACCCTGGCTCCCGATGTCCGTTGTCGAAATACCTAGGATAAAATAAACCATGGTCACGTTTTGTTAAAGCTCCAGAGTTAGCGGGAATTTGATAAGGAAAAACTCAGGGTACCTGAAAGCCTGCCGCCAAAAAAAAAAATTCAGTTAAAATCTACAGCCTTGCAGCAAACAGCTGTTTCTTTCAATTGTTGTCCTATACACGTTCATTTGTATGCATAACTTATGAAAAGACAAAAGGCAAATGCCTTGGAGAACATCACGTGGTCTGAATTGGGAAAACAAAACATGAGGAAAAAAGGTCTATTTTGCTCAACTCTAACATCTGTTGGAAAAATGGACTGCTTGACTGTCACGCTGTGAAAGTGAACTTTATTCCTCTAGTTGCTTAGCGATAAGCTGTAATGACGTGATGTAAGTTAAGTGCAGAATTTCAAAACCATGTGCGAATTAAGGAGATCTTGAGATTGTAATCATCGTTATGGCGTGAACATTAAATTGTGAAGTGATTCGAGTCTGTTGGTCGTTTTAACGTGAATATTATCGGGAAAATCTCTTGTGTTAGAAGCAATCGGAAGCTTCCTGACACATCTAAAATATAGTCTACTGTGAAAAACATAGGAGAGACATGCTGCAGTCTTAAAAACGTTTATGTACTAAAAATAAACGCTCTATAGTCATACCCTAGAGGCAAAATGAATGTTTTAAACTGCAGTAAGATGGAAGCTTTGCTAGAATTAGTTGCAAGTGGTTTTACCATCGTTTACAGTGTTTCTAGAGACTGCATATGTAATCTTTAGATTTTTTTATCCTCTTTTTTGGACCCCTTACATACTAAGGCAGACACGTACGTGGCGTTAATGAAATTCTGATAGTTGAGCCATCGAGTTATAGTTTATGATTAACCGGTATTATTTTCTTTTCTTTCTGCTAGGGCTACAAACAGGCTTTAGTTTGAAATGGCAGCAGTACAAAGCCATGTTTTTGAAAAGGTTCCTGAATTCCAAGCGTGATAAGAAGGCCATCATTACTCAACTCGTTCTTCCTCTTGTTATGGTCTTATTTGGCTTGTTACTTATTACATCAATTCCCACGCGAACGAATGATCCGCCACGTGTTCTCAAGCTCTCTAATTTGAGCATTGATGACGTTTTCACCAAAGCATTCTTTGCAGACTACAGGAACGTAAGCTCTGATGTAAAACAAGAAACTTTGAAGGTACTTCATGTAGTTCTAGGTGTTACCAATTCTTAAACTGGTTGAGCAAGACCCCTTTGTAGTAGGTCTCAAGGGGGTGGTCGCATTGTCACAGTTAACGGTTAATAGAGAGATTTAAGAGAGTTTAAGCTTCACGTTTACGGCAAACGGCAAACGTCAGATTCAAGCTGGGGATTTGTCAAAATAGAAAATGAGCAGATAAAAACAGCTGAAAACAATTCTTATTGATAAAAAGTTGCGTGAAACTGCTAATTTATGTGTAGAAATAATGAACAGTAAAGGGGAAACTTGGTCACGTGGTACAAATTCGCGTTTGTCGTTTGATGTAAGCGTGATGCTTAAACGTGAATTTGGGTCACGTGAACAAGTTTTCCCTTTCCTTATCCTTAACTGTTCGTTTCTTCCACCAAAAAAATAGTTTCACGTTATTTTCATCCATAAGAATTGTTCTAGTTTGAGAAATTCTCAGCTTGAGTCTCCCGTTTACCACGGGTTTGCCGCGAAACAGTGACGGATCCCCCCCTGTTATCTCAGGGTCTGGATGACCCCTCCCCCGCCCTTCTCTGAAGGTCTGGATCCGCCACTGCTAAATCTCTCTAATATTTAGTTTTTCTTTTGCTAATGGTCAATTTCTTTTCTTTGCGGTTAACAGACATTCGAAGAAGAGAAAGCAATTCTTACCAAAAACTTGAAACGGTCTTATCACTTCTTCTTTCTAAAAGCGTTTCTAGAATGGAAAACAAGGGCTCAGATATAGGGTCCATCATCCAAGACACAATTCAGGCGAAGTCCTATTTCCATTTTTACGCTTAACGACTTCAAATATTTGACAATGCGCCCCGTTCAGAGAGATCATTTTGGATGTCATCGGCAGGGGGCGATTAGAGGGGTGTGTCTTCGCAGGCTAGTTTTAAAAGTGAGCCTAAAAATAAACGTTTGCTTTATTTCGCAGAACACTAGCAACTACCTCAAGAGTGTTAAGGTAGACGTACTGGACATCACGTCGAAAGTGTATAACATCCGTGATGGTAACCAAGGCAACAATATAACAGTCAGAGACGTGTTCGCCCAATATGATAATGAATCTAAAGCATGCTGCAACTATGAGTTCTACGTGCTCAATTCCAAGTGCAAGTCTCTTGTGAGTAGCTATCAACACACAAACTCTCCTTACTGGCTCTAAAAGATTCTCATAGCATAAGTTGGAAGAAATAGGGAGCTTAAGCAACGACGACGGCGACGGCAACGAGAACGGCAAATAAGTACTAGTTTTAGATTGGCACAACAACAACTTTGCACGTGTTGTTTGTAGATTTTTTTCCGATACTGCACGAGTACGACGAGAAACTTCCTAGTTTCACGTTTTCTGGAGGACGTGAACACAAAACAAAAATTTTCTCTTTCTTTTTCTAAACTTAGATACAGTCCTTCAGAATCAACTACAGAAAAATTCCCCAACACTTGACAAATTAATTGAAATGGAATAAGAGAAATGAAGTTTGAAACGGCGCGAATTCACTTTTTGAGTGACGTTTTCGTCGTGATTGTTTAAGCTCCCTAATTTTCGACTTAAAACCAAAATCTTCATTGCGAAAAATCAAGAGTTCATTCACTGTAATGTAAAATTTGCATGTGTCCATTGTTTCACGAGTTGCACATGATTAATTTTATCTCATTTGTACTTCTTAGTTCATCAGTCAGGATCTTAAGCCAGATCAATGTTCAGATTTTACCTTCGGCTACAAGGATTGCCCCAAATGCATTCTTGCCAACGTGTAAGTATTATTATTTTTATTCCTTTTCGTAACGGAATAGATCACGTGTAGATCCATTCCAAGTATGCAATGGGAACGTTTGGCTCTTTTCTGAAAATACAGAAATCCAAGTTGGCCGCCATTTTGGCTTCATGACGTAACTCTTGTGCTGTGTGAGGTCATTACGCCCCCTGGCCTTAAGATGTTCTTGAAGTTGTAACGTCTAGGGTGGTGAAGGGGGTTGAAGGCAAACCACACTCCACCTTCAACCCACAGCCATGGAAGAATTTCCACCCTATCCAGTGGCGGATCCAGAACAGGCCCGCCCCCCTTTATTTTTAGACCAAACTGAGGCCCGAGACCGCCCCCTGGTCTCAGGGTCTGGATGATCGTCCCCTCCACCCCCCCTCCCTTATCTGAAGGTCTGCACCCCAATCCCCAACCAACAGTCCTAGCAGACTTTCCACCCTACCCCACTCCCCAACAAACATTTCCGGCAGACGTTTTTCCCTACCCCAATCCCAACCTTAAGTCCTAGAAAACTTTCCACCCTACCCCCGTGAAGCCTGAATAGAAGGAAACATATTTTTTCTTCCCTGCCTTCTTTCAGATCAGGGTACGAAATTGACAAAGACACAACTTGCTCAGCAGTTGGGTGCCCTGGTACTAACCTGAAAGATCTCAACACCTACTTCTCTGAATATGTCCTTGAGCAAAGCAACGCCTCAAACTACTTCAACGTGTATGTTGCCGGATTCTCATTAGCACCCCAGATTCCGCCTATGCCTGCCAACATGTCGAACATATCGCTGCCTTCGAACATGACGAGCAACAAGGGTATGATTCCATCCGAGAAAAGGCCAGACACAGAAACCACACTCTGGTACAGTAACGAGGTAAAGTCAGTGTTTTTCTTTGAGACTGGTTGTTCTTCCTCCTAAGATATCGATATGTGAATTTTGTGCTTAAACTTTCGTTTCGCACCCGCCCAGCAACTGTGCAATAGATAGCGTAAACTGATTGATCCCATAGTAGGCTCAATTTCCAGCCGCTGTTCGGGATATGAGCCCGCGCTCCTCTCCTTCTCAAGGAGGAATAAGAGCGAAATAAATCAGGTCTATACCGTAGCGGCAATGTGATAATGGTTTGATGTTTTATTGCAGGGGTTTCACACCATAGCAGAAGCATTAAGTGCTATGAGTAACATTCTACTGACAGATGCAATGAATGACGAATCATATAGTATTGAGGCTACTAACTACCCTCTACCAAACACCATTAAAAACAAGGTTAGTTCTCAAGCACACTTCTTAGTTGACATAAGAACCCTTTTAGATTTAATCTGAGGACGACTATGAGAACGAAATTTTCTCAATTCTAAGTAGTGCGCACGCGTAAACCCGCGTCATTTTGGCGGGAAAACGCGACAGTCGGGAGAGGACTTGACCTCTTTCAATAAAAAATAAAAACGAATTTTACATCGCAAGCGCTATTATCGCACGAAGCGATTGCCATGACTGAACCAACTTTAGGTTTCCGCCGTACCGTTAAGAGAGATTTCGCTGTACTTGTCTGTCATAATTTGAAGCGATATTTGGGAAATTGTTTTGCAGAAAGATTCTTTATTTCACTCTGTTTTTTGCTCTCTAGGCTGACAATGTCACAGGTGATTTTTCTGCTCTTCTGCTTGCCATCTTCCTTGCACTAGGTATGGCCTTCATGTCTGCCAGTTTCGTCACATTCATTGTACAGGAGAGAGTTTCCAAGGTAAAACCATATAACTGCAAAATGACTAACAATGCTCAGGTTTAACACATGAGTTTTTTTGTGCCTTGCAGTTCGAAATGAGTTGTAAAGATTCTCGCTTTCCAGTCGCACTCCATTTCACTTCACACGATCGCTGCGCAGAGTGCAAATCTTTTTTTGTTCCGCAGTGTATTTTTCGACCTGCTCCCGTTTGGCTTTTATGAGACATAAATAATCCTTGAGGCTGAAGTTTTCAAAAATTCGCGACTTGGATAGTTCGGAAAACTTTGAAAACACAAGTGCAACTAATTCGTAATTGTCCTCATGTCATCACCAGTGCATCATTTAAAGGAATCACACGGTAATCGTACCCTCTCTTGTTTACCAAAATGCGCTCAATTTAGAAAAATGCCTCTATCTCACCCATCAGCGTTGGGTAATTTCCCATTCCAGAAACTATAAGGGAAACTGGTACAAGCTTTCGGCGCAACGATTTCTGAGACCATTTGGGTGGACAAGGGTTGGTCATGATTGGTCAATGGTTACCTTGAATACCGTCGACCAATCATAACTAACGCTTGCTCACCCAAACGATCCCAGAATTCACTGCGTTCAAACCTTGTATACATTCTCCCTAGAGATTCTGCAGGGGAGAATTTTGTCCTTTTGTGATAAAATCGGTTTTAGATGTGGAGGATCTAATGCAGCGCTCTAACGCAACTTTAAAATGTGTATAATTTATTTTCCGTCATACACTTATTTCAGGCCAAGCATCTTCAGTTTGTCAGTGGTGTGGATGTGGTTAGCTACTGGTTCGCTACTTACACCTGGGATTTTATCAACTACTTAGTTCCTGCTTTGGGAATTCTTATGTTGTTTGCCGCGTTTCAAGTGGAGTCTTATAAGGATGAGTTGGGAATTGTCTTCCTTATGCTCGTGAGTACAAACACGACACGACCACAGTACTGAAATAGCAGTACGCTACATCGCTTTTCTCTGTGTTACACGACAACGCAGTACACCACTAAAACCCACTTACCTCGAACTCAACTGCACCGCTCTACACTATATTATGACCACCCTGTATTTTACTGAACCTCAGCGCTCCACGTTACACTATACCACACAAGTCCATGCCACACCGCCATAGTACACTACACCACGTCACGCCATCCAACGTCACACCATACCAAACTACACAATACCGCCATACCACACTGTATCACATCACACAGAGGCAAGTCTCACTACTGCCTATCTTGTCACTCCACATTTCACTACACTACGTCACGCCACACCGTGCTACCCAACACCAAACTAACCACATCATACTGTCAATGGTTTGAACTGAGGAGTCGTGAGAGTACTTTCAGTGCAGCACGTCACACCACACCACACCTTATCACGCCACATTTCACTACACTACGTCACGCCACACCGTGCTGGCCAAAACCAAACCAACCACATCATACTGTCAATGGTTTGAACTGAGGAGTCGTGAGAGTACTTTCAGTGCAGCACGTCACACCACACCTTGTCATGTCACCCTACACTACACCACCGAACACAGCAATTTACTATACTTCACAACATCACACCGCCCCTTGGTGCGTCACACCACACCACATCATGTCACGCTACGCCACGACACGCCACGCTACGCCACACTCCATTACACTTTTAAGCATAAACTCTTTATCTTATTCCTTTAGTGTGCTAGTAATGTTTCTCATCTTGAAGAATTAATGTGTTATGATTGTCGTTTTTCTCTTTATTGTAACTGTATTAGAAGGTAATTAGTTTATATCATCTTATATCTATGTTAAACCATGCATTTGTATAGTTCTATTTTTTTCTCTTGTTGTAGTCGTATATTACTGATTAGGCATTGTTTTATATGTGTATTTTGTATTGTTGTGAAGGCCGTAAGTTAGAAAACTCATTGGGTTATTACGTCACCTTCGTTAAATAAAGAATATTGTATTGTATTGTATTGTATTGTACACTTCACTAAAGTTCTTTACTGAATCATTTTTTATTGTTGTCCTTAGATACTCTTTGGTCTCTGTGTGTTGCCATTTGTCTACTGCCTGTCCTTCATATTCAAATCCCCGCTGGTTGGCTATGTACTGATTGTGTTCGTGCTCTCCATACTCAGCCTGGTGAGTAAACGTTTGAGCCCATTCACGCCCAAAGTGGTTTAAGTCAAAATTCAATAAAATTTCCAAATTTTGTCTTTGTAGACCCTGAATAAAATATATCGCCATGTGAAAGTACTACTAAAGAGGTTTTATTTGAATGGTCACATCACAGGTTTTTGTCCACAAACCCGGAAGTTAGAGTAACCACTTGAGACACCATTTTTCACTCTTGGAGTGACCGGCTCAAACTGATCAGATGTTGACGAAGGCCAGGGTTCAAAATGAAGAGGTCTAAATCACGCATTTGTCAACATTAGCAAAAAATAAAATGATCACAGAAATTAGCTAAAATCAGACTACAGTGACAGGCTGCCTTTTTTGGGTAAGTTGACAATTTCTGGTTTTTTTTTTATTTTCTCAGGCAATGTTGATCACAGTGTTCGTCTTACAACTGCCAACAGTAGATCTCAAGGACGAAGCGGACGTTTTGCATTACATCTTCATGCTTGTCCCCACTTACACGTACGTTTTTCTCTGTGCTTTGTTGAGCAGCCATTTCACTCTTTTTTAAGAATACAATTTCTTAATCCTTTACGCACTAAGAGTAATCAGCATCAAATTTAATTTCTCCTAAACAGAGCGGTCATAAGAATTGAGGACATCATCGCAGAAGTTGAATGTAATTGATACAGTAAAAACCCACGAGTAAGAACCTACATTTTCCAGGGTTAACCTGAACAGGTTCTTACATAAATGATGGTAAACATAAATTTAGGCTATCTAGGTTCTTAATTTCTTCCAAAAAATTACGTCGTTGCTAAGAAGATTTTAGTGATAAGCATCCTTAAATTTGCATACCTAATGTTGCTTGTATAAATTATACTGGTATTATCTCTAGATAAGAGTGTACTTAAAATTAAAGAACTCAGTTTTGTTGAAATATATGTACTAACACGACATTTTGTGTTATAATATTTGTAAAAGAGTTACTGGAGTTAGTTTCAATATTTATATAAGAACCTTTCTCCAAATTTTAGGCTAAAGAGGTTCTTATATAGAGGGGGTCTAAATTGCAAATTTTAGCCTAACAGGTTCTTTAATCTTAGGTTCTTACTCGTAGGTTTTTACTGTACTTGAACAAATTCTTCAAATCCAACTACTTCTACAGGAAATATATGGGGGCGACAAATGAGGTTTTCAATTTTGATGTAAGGGTTTGAAGGGTTAATCATGTGTTGTTGTTCACAGGCTTGCATACGCCTTTGTGGATCTGAACGCAAACTATGGATTCCGAAAAGTCTGCAATGAATCACCAGTGTAAGTTACTTACAGTATATACAGTATACACATTCTATGCCTTGTTCTTAGTTGTAGCACGGGTCTTCCTGTTTTCCATGGTTGTAAAACCAAACTAGTTCCCAGTCATCCCCGTTTTTTTCGGATGTCACGTCACGCTCGGTTCCACGCCTCCTCCACTCGTTCACTTAGCGCGAATTGCCCTGGGGATGAGGCTGCAGGTTAATAACAAAATCCTGTGTTCTTTTCACTAGGGCTAGTCTCCGATGCGAAGTGTCAAATGTAAAATACACTGATCATGGCTTGGACTGGGAGCGACCTGGTATCGGTCAGATGGCGCTGTATCTTTTCATTGAGTCAGTCGTTCTGTTTATTCTGGTTCTTTTGATTGAGGTAAGAATACCATCCAACAGACCATTTGCACGATGACGTCATTTTACTAATACGGTCAGAATCCTGAGATATGTCCAGAAATGCACGCGTTGGCGATGACGAAGCAAAGGGTTTAGCAAAAATGGCGAACGATCGCCAAATTGTTACCAAAGATGGCGAAGGGGCCCTTTGAAAGTGGTTGTTCTGGATATCGCCAGCCCTCTGGCGATTTTTCACCATTTTCGCCGTTGCTTTTATTTCTGGACATAAGTGAGAATCCTTCAGGGTTTTGCTTTCTGTGCAAATTAGGGCTTTTGGTTTTTGAACCTCCTTGGGATTAGCAAATGGACACATGAAAGCAAAACCAAAATGGATTCTGGAAGAAGTAGTAGTAGTAGTAGTAGTAAAATGACGCCATCGCACAAATGCAGTTTTGTAGGTCGTCCTTTTATTCAGCTTCGTCAAACGAGAGAAATTTTACAGAAGCTAAAAGTTACTTTACCCATTCATAGTTTAATATATTACCAACACAATGTTAATTTACAAAACGTATTGAAAATGTCGTAAAAATGGACCAGAATGACGACAACATTTCAGGAGATGTGTCTACCAAGAAAATGCGGTTGGTCAAGTTGTTACTGTAGTTTTAAGCATCAACTTTCATTGTTTTGTATATTAGGTGAAGTTTTTCCTTGGAGGCAGGTTGAAAACGCCGAGTGGAGAGTTCCAGTCAAATCAGCAAAGAAACGAGGTTTGTGTGGAAAAACATGTAAAGTAAAATCCTTTTACAGGTCACTTCCTAATTTTGTTGTGGAGGTACAAGTCGAAAAATCACAAATCCACCCGTTTTGACCCAAGCTACTTTCTTCATTTTTACTTTAGAATCGTGTGTGTGACAATAGTTACTTTCTCCGTTACCTCAAAATCATATGATATCAACCGCGAGTTGGGTTCTTGATCGGTTGTTATTTATCTGTATGGGAGGGGGCCACATTTTACAAATACAGGTGTAGTGTCCCAAAACTTGTGACCTCCCTTGAAGGGCGAGAACCACTAACAAACTCAACCCATATATGGTGTTGCGTATGGGATTTGAACCCAGGCCACACTGAAGGGAGGCGAGAGCTCTCACCTCTACGTAACCCTGGTTTCCTCGTTCTGTGTGCTATGCCTGGATTTCAATAAATGAAATAAATAATTCATTCATCAATGTCATTGGTCTTCAGGATGGGGATGTCAGCAGTGAGCGCACGCGTATTAACAACATGACGCCAGAAGGGTGCCAAAAGGAGGCGGTTGTGTTGAGAGATTTGACGAAGGTGAGAGTACACAACAACGGTATTCGACGCTTATACTTAACATAGCAAATTGACACATAATAACACTACTTAGGGAACACTTCCTTTGCGACTATTTTTACGATAATACCGTGTTCTCAAAAAAAATTCCAATATAATGACCCGATAAAATGCCCGAAATACATTCGGTTGTCTCGTGGCAATCAATAAGAGTCTCCGAAGATCCTTCGTAACTTTTGGAGCGGTTTGACGTCTGAATTCAAAAACCGAAGCATCATGATTATTACTCTGGCCAATCGCAGTAAGAGCTGACAGACAAATTAACCAATCACAGTTTGAATGCCTACTAAGCGCGGGAAAACGCATGCGGTCAGGTCGCTGTTGGTTCGGTTTTTTGGCGGGAAAACGCGTGTGGTCAGGGGCCGGTTGCTCGAAGCCTGGTTAGCGCTAAACGTTGGTTAAGGGGTATCAAAATGTATAGGTTTCCATGGTATTTAACGCTGGTTAGCACTAACCATGCTTCGAGCAACCCGGGCCTGGTCGTTATTTGTTCGGGTTTTCTGATTGGCTTTAAAAAGGTCGCGAGTTTTTTTAACCAACCGCATAGCGTAACAGAACCCAAGCAAACACGAAGATACTTTTGACAGTCAATTGAAGATGATCCTTTGATGCATTAATAATTGATGCCATGTTCAGGTGTATGGAGGTACACGAGTCACTGCTGTTGATCATTTGTGTCTGGGAATTCCTCGTGGAGAGTGCTTTGGCCTGCTAGGAATAAATGGTAAGATGCGGTTGCATTTTTGTACTTTTTTTACCCTTAGAAATTGATTTGAATAGAAAGACTCTTAAGAATTTCGAGTCCCGCACTCAAAAGTGAATCTTCCTTTATTAATAGGAGCGGGAAAGACAACAACATTCAGCATGTTGACCGGAGATTTGAGCATTACTGAAGGGACAGCCCTCCTGGATGGATACGACATCCGGACAAATTTAAGAGAGGTGTGTAAAAAGAAATCCTATGTACAATTCGCACGACTGAGATTGTACCACGTCTATTCAGGAGGTCTTGTTTCGATATTCCTAGCCTGTGAGCGGGCTCAAAAACATTTGCCCCGAACTTGCTCACAGGCTACGAAATCCCATGTAGTCCTTAACCAGTCGAATATTCATACAACAAAGAGGCCGAGAGAACACAGAGAACTGCCGTTGACAAGCAAGTGGAAAGGCAGCAGCTGAAGTTTATTGTTTTTGTGACCAGAAATAGCTGGCAAAGTTTTCATAAAACTGTAAATATATATGGATCTGATCATTCATCGCATGTTGAACCGCCCTAAGTTCCAAGACTCCTTAGTTGAGACACGAACTGTAGCGGTAACTTTTAAAATAAACAAAATGGTATTTGTAACAATGTAAATGAAACCTTTCTGGCTAAACTATCGCTTTCGCTTGATTTTTGGCTTTGTTGGGTATGTCGGACCTCTTTTCTACCCATGTTCTTGGCAAAATGAATATGCTGATCGTATTCCTCACTAATATGTTTTGTTTAACTTTAGGTTCAACAAAGGATTGGTTATTGCCCTCAAGTAAGTTCCTTACCTTAATAGTTTTTTTTTGAAAGTGCATCTCCTTTCACCGAAGAAATGCTCCCTTATGAGAGCTTCCTTGCCCCAAACGTTCTAAAGGTTGTTACCGCTAAGCAATGGACACAATCTCTAGCCAATGAATAAAGCAATAATACTTTCCCTAGCACTTAATCAGTGGATAATGATAGTGGTAATAATGGGAAACGAACTAAAGGGCGGTAACTTTTCAGTGGACTCTTCTCATCTCATTCAGAGGGAAGGGTGTGGCTTCTTTGGTTCCTGTGTGACTTTGCCGCGATATACAGTCCAACCTCACTTAAATGAACACACCTTTTAAGGAGAGTCCTCTCATTCCCGATGGTGCCAAACTTAATACATATTAGGGCCATTTATACGAGGAAAAATAAGACGCGTCTTACATAAGACGCGAACTGTACCATTTATACGACGTACAGAATAGATTATTCTGCGCAGAATCGATTCGGCGCAGAATAAAATCTGCTTTACTGCCGTTTATACGGAAAGTTCGCGTCTTATTTAAGACGCGTCTTATTTTTCCTCGTATAAATGGCCCTATTCTGCCACTATAATACAGACACACCCGCCAGTCGGCTCTGTTATGTCTTTGTGCGAGATAAGCCCGTATTGTTAAGGTTCCAGTGAATTACTATTACTCTGCACATTAATTAATTAAACCTGTTATTTCTGTTTTTAGTTCGACGCTCTGATCGAACGACTAACTGGTCGTGAAATGCTTACAATGTACGCGAATCTCCGTGGAGTGCAGCCAGCGAAAATCAATGACTTGGTGTCGAGTACAATCAAGCACCTGAATTTGACTAAATGGGCTGATAAGCTGTGTGGAGATTACAGGTAACTAACATTATCGCCTCCTTTCTCTACCTTGTTTTTTAATTGGCGAACTTCAAAGATATGGCCTCGGACTCAAACCTAGGGGAATTATTTCTGAGGATAATCAATCAAATCAATCTAGTGTAAATTGGGCAATCGTCATGTCCGTAATTTATTTAAGGCATTCTCTGGCGTACTGTAGTTTGGGAAGGAATGAGGCAGGCATTTCCATCGCGTTAAATGAAAGGCAGGCTTGTAGTTTGTTTAATTCCTCATCGTTCACTAGGCTCAAACTGATGAACTAGAGCTTCCTTGCTTTCAATTCAGTTTTTATTTTTGTTCGTTTAGGCGTGGAGATGAATATTTGTTGCCAATGACCAGACGTCGTCTTATTTCGTACGCTTTTGTCATTGTAGTCAGTACGGTTTTTATTTTTCATGTTGTAGCGGAGGAAACAAACGAAAGCTCAGCACTGCAATAGCTCTGGTTGGAAACCCGCCCATTGTGTTTTTGGTGAGTTAAGACCTAATTGTTTTGAGTGTCAAATTTAAACATATCGACCCGAAAAATAAGTAAACGTTCGCCAACATTAGCTCGTATCACGTGACATTTAACAAGACAGGGCTTCCCTATCAGCGCACGCTTTCATTGGCTACTTCGAGCTCACATGGTATCCAACAACGAAACTTTTCCCGCCAAAAGTCACTGAGCGGCCAACATGGCAAAAACGATAACGTCAGAGGAAACAATGTATTGTTACCCAAGAAAGTTGACCGCTCCTAAGTTTTCATATTGAATCTACTAACGTCTTTGTTGGGCTGCCCAACAAACCACATCATGACTAGTCCCTCATGAAATCAGTCACTTGTTACTACGTAAACCCTGCCTGTGAGGTCAAGTGATAAAGTATTAAATGTTTCCCCGGTAAGAAGAATATGTTTGTTGAACTGAGGGACGTTTTTGATGCCTTAGGATGAGCCCACCACAGGTATGGACCCTGTTGCTCGGCGTTTCCTGTGGGATTCGTTGATGACAGTGATGAAAGGAGGTCGATCCATTGTGCTCACATCCCATAGGTAGGCTGCATTTTCCTTATAGGAGGTTTATTATACAATAAGAGTCATTTTAATTTTCTCGCACGACGTCGTTTATTCATTTATTCGTTTATTTGTTTATTCGTTTATTCATTTCAGCATGGAAGAATGTGAGGCGCTGTGTACAAGACTGGCGATCATGGTGAATGGAAAGTTTAAATGTCTTGGCTCCACTCAGCATCTAAAGAGCAGGTAAACTTTTCCTAACCCTCGACCGGAAAACTGTTTTAAATTTGCGTTCGTATCCATGTTATAGAAATTAGTTAACTTTGGAGAATTACTGGTATGTTAAATTTCTCGACTCTGTCAGCGGGCTATCATTGGGTTGGTGGATTTAGAAACAAAGTTATGAGGGAGGACAGCGTGGTGGGAGCCCGGGAGAAATGGAGTCGGGAAAGAAAAAGGTAGGGGGCGGGAGTTCCAAAAGGGTAGGAAGTTAGAGAAATAGGGAAAAATTCTGCAACAATGCTTAATATTTCGCAGTCCATAAAGGGCGAAATAGGGAAGCTAAGAAAAAGGAGCGGGAGACGGGAGGCTGTTCCCCCCTAAATTGCAGCGTCGTTGTGGCACGCTATCTACTCCTCTATTGGTCATTTCGAGGTTGCGCGAGCTTGGCCCCTAGGCTGTGAGACATAAAACAAAAGAAATCACCTTGAGTTTCAGGGATGAATAGTGATTTATTTTGCTCTATCACCCCTTGCCTCGAAACCAACTATGAATTTAAATATATCGAAATTTAGCTCTTCGTTCCCTATCAATTAAGGTTTCTGGGAAACTGCCCACCTACCCTTCCCCTGAGTCAACATAACACCTACTTCTCACTTAGGGCAGAATGTTGGGTTATGGGAGGGGTAGGTGGGCAGCTTCCCAAAAACCTTAATAGAGCGTTTTCACATGACGTCACGTCCGCCATATTGGTGTTCCAAAACAATGAAACAGCGGCCGTGTTGGTGTACCAAAGCTTTCTTTTGTTCCAACAAATTTGCATAGATGCTGACCACGTGAGTGAAAACGCTCTATTGCTCCCAATTCCACACAATACCGACCAAGTCTCTCCACAACCTCAAGACCACCGGGCTTTAAAATGGCAGTCCCTTTTTCTTACATGAACAAGTAAATAATGCTTTTGTTTTTCCTCCTAGGTTTGGCACAGGATACACTCTAATGATCAAAGTTACAAGTTCTATGCCCGCAAATGCTCAACCAATAGCAAACGGTTTTCATCCAGAAGGAGTTCCCATTGGCCAGCCTCCTCCTATCTCTATGGTTTACAGCAATCCAGTAGCTACGTCTGAACTACCGGAAGTCAACGAGCCTGACAAATCTCGTCAGGAAGGTGAGGTTAAGTTTCTTATTGGCCAGTTTAGAAACGAAAAGAGAACTGGAGCCGAAATGCGTCACGCAGTTGTGTCTGGGGTCGTTACTGGTCACGTGCCGGTCAGCTATTGGCTAATTTTTTACCCTGTCCCTAGTAACAGTCCCAGAAGTCTTTGCGAAAGTTAACTCGTCCCAGTTTCTTTCTCGGCTCTCAACTGGCGAATTGGGAGTTACAGCTCTCCTGCTAAGTGAATACCCTGGGGGGACTCCATTATAAAAGTGACGGGGATGCTCATCAGAAAATTAAAATTAAACCCCTAAGGGAGACCAATGTGGGTGTAGCTCAAGCTTAAACTCACCCCTAAATGACCCCAAAGAGTTAGGGATCTAAATAAATAAATGCCAGGGACGTTGTGTTCTTTTTTAAAAGTTAGATTTCTGTGAAGTCATTGTCACGGTATTTTTTGTAAATTTCTTTATGCACAGCCCTAAGCGATACCTGAATGGGCAAATATAGTGACTTTCCGTCCCAAAGGCACTAGTGAGACCAAAATCTGCAATTTGCACCCTTAAGCGAGATGAAGAGCATCCTTGTCACTTTTGTTTGGAGGTCCCCCCGTGTGAATACTTGCCGTTTTTATGGTTGTTAAGATTACAGTAAAGCAATTTCAATGTGGTGAGTTTTTTGCTGTATCAAACCCTGCTCTCTGTTTTTCAGTTGCCACCAATGGTACCCCATCAGGTATCAGTAGCCATGATATTCAACCGTCGGTCCCAGTTCCTACCTATCAGCCTCCTGCCCAGACCTTTAGCGGCATTATTTATGACAGGGGACTAATGGAGGCTGTTACCAACGCACAGAACTTTGTCGCTCAAACTTTCCCTGGAGCAAGACTTCTGGAAAGCCATAATGTGAGTTTCCCCTTTTTATGTCGGACTAGTAGTCACCAAAACTAAAGGAGTGCGGACGACAACGATCGAAGGTCAAAACGCTTTAGCTCCAACGTTGTGCTTTGTAAAAATAAGATTCACGTGATAGATGGTCAAAACACTTGTGATAAAATAAAGAGACAAAGGGCGCTTTCCAAAAGTCAGGAACTGGCCGGCTGGACCATGGCCTGGCCAGTCATTTTGACGATGAAATAGCTTTTTCCAAGAGGTTTTTGCTGAGAAACCATCTCCTTCGTGCCAGCTATGTAGAGTTTATGTGATCTGGCTGGATAGTGTTGATTAAAGAGAAAAATTCAAATTACGACGGGAATGTTCCGGCCGATCAGTTCTGACAAAGGGAAAGCACCCTATAGAAGGTCCAGACGCGCGTTAGGTCAGAGTGCGTTCTGTGTATTCCATTCATTCTTAGTGTAAGTCCAAACAAAGCTGGCTACATACGTCCGGTGCATGCGTAATAGCAACCTGGAGATTATGATTCCGAGGTCCTGTTAATGCCTGCAATAAATTATCTATATTATGAATAGAAACCCGCAGCGGCCATGTCCCTCGTTTTGTAACCTTAGTAGTATAAAGTGAATCAATGACGCCGTTTTTGTTTTTGCGCGATCTCATCGGAATTGAAAGGAACTTAGTTCACAATACAGTACTTCGGGAACTGAACACTAATGAAAGACGGATTCTCATTCTTTTTGGTTGCTTTTCCAGGGTGTTCTTCACTTCCAAGTGGAGACTGAGGGATTAAGTTGGTCGTACATCTTTGGACAGTTGGAGAGAAACAGAGCTGCTCTAAATATTATTGACTATAGTGTCAGTCAAACCACGCTGGAACAGGTAAATGGTCCAGATGATGTATTTAGAACTTCTAAGTCCCTCACCACCCTAACGCGTGGCCCTTCAAATGAAAGCTACTGAGCAGTACTTTCCTGTGGTGCTGTTTATTATGCTGTACAAGGTGGTTCTAACTTTTCAGTCTGTGGATGAAATCCTGTTGTGTGACCATTCAAATAAAAGCTACTGAGAAGTAGTTTCCTGTGGTACTGTTTATTATGCTGTACAAGGTGGTTCAAACTTTTGAGTCTGTGGATGAAATCCTTTGGTGTCACCATTCAAATGAAAGCTACTGAGCAGTACTCTCCTGTGATACTGTTTATTATGCTGTACAAGGTGGTTCTAACTTTGGAGTCTGTGGAAGAAATCCTATTGTGTGACCATTCAAATGAAAGCTACTGAGCAGTACTTTCCTGTGGCTCTGTTTATTATGCTGTACAAGGTGGTTCAAACTTTTGAGTCCGTGGATGAAATCCTACAGTACTTTCCTGTGGTACTGTTTATTATGCTGTACAAGGTGTTCTAGCTTTGGTGTGTGTGGATTAAATCCTTAAGTGTGACCATTCAAATGAAATCTACGGAGCAGTACTTTCCTTAAGTACTTTTATTATGTTGTTTATGGCTGCTCTAACTTTGAAGAAATGTAAACCAGTGTCGTCGTCAAAGTATATTTACTGAACAATATTGGTGACATTTTTTGTGTATATCTCAAACAGGTGTTTATTAACTTTGCTAAAGAACAACATTCAGAAGAAAGGACCTCTGTGAAAAAGACATGTGGATGTCTGCCCTAACAGAATTTTCATTGTCAACCAAACGTAATTCCGACGAAAAATCACCTCATGAATATTTTAACTATCGGTTTATTTAAAATTTTTTAAAACTTCTAGACTTTCAACTTTGTCAGTTATTCAAGTTTGGATGAATTCGCTCGGTCATATGTCGATATGCACTGATCAAAACGTAACTTAAACCCTACCCCACCCTAATATCAGTTTTGATATACTCTTTCATATACTCTTTTCCTTACACTTTGCCTTGGCAATGATAAGGAGAATTTACTGAACAATCAAGATCTTTATCACTTGTTGATTATTTCATATTTTCTCATGAGCTTTACGTTTGATTGGGTAGTGTTATTTCAAAGAGAAATTAGATGCATGTCACGATAGCCGTTGCGGCGGTCTGAGTACCCGGTGTTATACTTTTAAAGCTGTTCTGTTACCGTTAAATTCTGAAAATAAGCCCCTTCATGTAAAAGTCCCTGCAAGTACTTGAAAAGCCCAATCTATTTTGAAACGCAAATTTCCCTCCGTAGATAAGCCCCTCCAAAAATAAGCCCTTCAAAAAGGGCCTTTGAAAAATATAAGCCCCGGGGCTTATTTTCGGAATTTTATGGTATTTATTATGGAATCTATGTGGCAACCTCTCCACCTAGAATAATGAATTTCTTCACTCCTGTTCTAACAATTGTAAAAATAGCCAAGCGATCTCTTATCAGCAATAAATTATATTTATAGGATAGTACTATTTAACCTCGCCATGCGGTATGTTGTAAAGTTATGTTTATTTATCTGAGATTCTACGGGTCAGAAACTCCACATATTTCTATGAATGTGTTTCGTCCTTACTAAAACAATTGTAAAATTCACCAGCCGATTTCAAATCAGCAATGAATGATATTTGTAGTATAAAAACTATTCACCCTTTGTGCAATCCATTTATCTAGGCCGCCTTTGGTTATGTCTAGAATTAATGCTTTTATTGAATTCTTTCTTTACATAGTTTTCTTTAAGCGCTGGTCGCTGGTCGTGGACACTTGGTATTGCCTTACAAGAAGTGCGTGCAAGCTTTCGCGCGCTACTTTTTAAGGCATTTTGGATTTTCGCGGCAGAGCGCGAATTAATCAAACGTGCGATCAAATATTTTACTCAGAAAATGTATCTAGGAATAAGAATTTTGAAATGTTAACATTTCATCTATTCATTTGCATCTGGAAAATGTTCAGTATCTACATACTGTTTTACCATTTGTTAGCTAAGAGTAGAAATAGCAAACGTAAGATAAAATGAGATGTGAAATACGAAGTGTGCATTATAAATACAAAGAATTAAAGCCTAGAAATGTAAAGTTTTGTTTTAAAAATGTGTAGAATGTTCGGAGGTCAGTCGCCCAGTTACCTAAAGTACAAGAAGACTATCGCAAATGACTTCGAATTCCAATCTAAAATTCCTTTTTAACATCTTAAATATTGAGTAAAGTACAGCCCCCTCCTCAGACGATACGCGAGGGACTGGTGACGAAGTCCAAGGGAACATGGGAAGAAGATAAATGAGCCTTTGCGTTCTTTGCGTGCAAATTTTCATCGAGAGACAGAGAGTGGGTAAGAGACAGGAGTAAGGTCTTTGATTTCTTTGATGCACAAACCGAACTATAATAAGATTCCCACAATATTACGGCATCGTTTTACAGGTTTGAAGCATTTTCATCCACGGCTTGAAATCACCCCAATGAAAAAATCCTAGAGAAACCCGAACGGCGAAGTAACTATTCTCCCCGGTAGACTGGAAAACAATCGGATTTTTCATTCAAAAACCAACGTTTTAGTTCTGCGTCAGAGACTCACACGCACGCGAGCCCCACACGCCCGTGATTTTCACCCTCGCTTAAGACCTTTTGTTTGCGTTCACTGCTCGCACGTACCTAAATACACAAAAATCAGGAATGTTTTGAACTCCACCTCCCTGGTAAAATCTTCGCCCCCCACCATAACTGCTGATCTGATCTGGATCCAATGATCCAGCGATCCAGCAATCCAGCGATCTAACAGTCCACCGATCTAGCGATCCAACAATCCACAGATATAGCGATCCATCGATCCAGCATTCTCGTCCCCAGAGCCCGTCGTTTCTTGGTCACGTGGTCGGTTACAAATTAGGCCGAGTGGCTCTGGGGACTAGAATGTCGATCCACCGATTCAGCGATCCAGCGATCCAGCGATCCAGCGATCCAGCGATCCAGCGATCTAGTGATCCAGCAATCCAGCGATCCAGCGATCCGGCGAGCGAGGGATCCAGCGATTCCGCGATCCTGAGATCCCTCTGCGGAGTCTTTGGTGTGCCATGCCGTTCCATCCTCCTTGAAAACCCGTGAAATAACAAGGTGAATACTAATGTTTATCCATCGCTGTCGATCGCGTTCGCTCGATGGCCCCCCTCCACCGTACCGGTGAACCAACACCGCGAGACAGGCTCGATCCTGCGATCCCCTATCCACTGATCTAGCGCTCCAGCGATCCAGCGACCTAGCGATCCCGCGATCCCGCGATCCAGCGATCCAGCGGTCCAGCGATCCAGCGATCTAGCGATCCAGCGATCCAGCAATCGAGCGGTCCAGCGATCCATCGATACACCGATCCAGCGATCTACTGAACCAACGACCCAGCGATCCAGCGATCCACCGATCTAGCAATCCATCGATCCTCCGATCCAGCTATCCATCGATCCGGCGATCCATCGATCCAGCAATCCAGCGATCCTGCGATCTAGTGATCAAGCGATTCAGCGATCTACTGATCCACCGATCCAGTGATCCAGCGATCTACTGATCCTCAGATCTAGCGATCCAGTGATCCAGCGATCCAGCAATCCAGCGATCCAGCGATCTAGCGATCCAGCGATTCAGCGATCCAGCGAATCCAGCGATCCAGCGATCCAGCGATCCAGCGACCTAGCGATGCACCGATCCAGCGATCCAGCGCTCCAGCGATCCAGCGATCCAGCGATCCTCCGATCCAGTAATCCAGGGATCCAGTGATCTAGCGATCCAGCGATTCAGCGATCCACCGATCCACCCATCCACCGATCCACCGATCTACTGATCCAGCGATCTAGCGATCCAGCGATCCACCGATCTACCGATCCTCCGATCCATCAATCTACTGATCCACCGATCTAGCGATCCATCGATCCGGCGATCCAATGATCCAGCGATTCAGCGATCCAGCGATCAGGATCCAGCGATCCACCGATCCACCGATCCACCGATCCACCGATCCCCCGATCCACCGATCCAGTGATCCAGCGATCTACTGATCCACCGATCTAGCGATCCATTAATCCGGTGATCCATTGATCCAGCGCTCCAGCGATTCAGCGATCCAGCGATCTACTGAACCAGCGACCTAGCGATCCACTGATCTAGCGATCCATCCATCCGGCGATCCAGCAATCCAGCGACCCAGCGATCCAGCGATCCAGCGATCTAGCGATCCAGACATCCAGCGATCTAGCGATCCTCCGATCCAGTAATCCAGGGATCCAGTGATCTAGCAATCCAGCGATTCAGCGATCCACCGATCCACCGATCCACCGATCCACCGATCCACCGATCTACTGATCCAGCGATGTAGCGATCCAGCGATCCACCGATCCACCGATCCAGCAAACCACCGATCCACCGATCTACTGATCCACCGATCTAGCGATCCATCGATCCGGCGATCCAATGATCCAGCGATTCAGCGATCCAGCGATCACGATCCAGCAATCCAGCGATCCAGCGATCGACTGATCCACCGATCCAGTGATCCAGCGATCTACTGATCCACCGATCTAGCGATCCATTAATCCGGTGATCCATTGATCCAGCGATCCAGCGATTCATCGATCCAGCGATTCAGCGATCCAGCGATCCAGGGATCCAGCGATCCAGCGATCTTCTATCCACCGATCCAGCGACCTAGCGATGCACCGATCCAGCCATCCAGCGAACCGGCGATCCAGCGATCTAGCGACTTAGCGATCCAGCAATCTAAGGATCCAGCAATGCACCGATCCACCGATCCAGCGATCTACTAAACCAGCGACCCAGCGATCCACCGATCTAGCGATCCATCGATCCGGAGATCCAGCGATCCAGTAATCCAGCGATCCAGCGATCCTCCGATCCAGTAATCCAGGGATCCAGTGATCTAGCGATCCAGCGATTCAGCGATCACCGATCCACCGATCCACCGATCCACCGATCCACCGATCCACCGATCCACCGATCTACTGATCCAGTGTTCTAACGATCCAGCGATCCACCGATCCACCGATCCTCCGATCCACCGATCTACTGATCCACCAATCTAGCGATCCATCGATCCGGCGATCCAATGATCCAGCGATTCAGCTATCCAGCGATCCAGCGATCCAGCGATCAACCGATCCAGTGATTCAGCGATCCAGCGATCCAGCGATCCACCGATCGAGTAATTCAGCGATCCAGCGATAAAGCGATCCAGCGATCCAGCGATCTAGCGATCCAGAGATCCAGCGACCTAGCGATTCAGCGATCCAACGATCTAGCGATCAACCGATCCAGTGATTAAGCAATCCAGCGATCCAGCGATCCACCGATCGAGTAATTCAGCGATCCAGCGATCCAGCGATCCAGC